AGTATATTACATTAGCTTTAATTTAAGATATATAAAAGTGTCAGTATTTCCGGAACACTTTCGAAAGTTAAGTTGAAAAAGTTGTCGTTTTGAATCCCCCCCTGTGGGCAGGTAAAGGGTCAAATTTATAAAAAAAATACATCAAATGATAGGTAAAGACATTATAAATCTATAAATAAAAACTATATCGATTTTTTCATTTTTGAAAAAGTTATTGCAGTTTTAAGTAAAAAAAATTGAAAAAATTTCGAAAATTAGCAGTTTTAAAATTTGTAATTTTTTTGGAGGTTTCCTCATTTACGGGGAACGAGGGAAATTTTTTCAATTTTTGAGGGTAATGTCTTCGACTAGATACGATTTGTGATCTTTTGACGTATCATTGAAAGAAATCGGATCGGTGAGAGCTGAGAAAAAGTAGTAACAGACACAAAAAAAAAAACAAATCATAGTAAAATTAATACCTTCTCAGCTTCGCATCGAGCTAAAAAACACATCCTAGTAAAACCAATACCTTTTTAGCTTCGAATCGAAGCTAAAATATGCTACTTGGCGATAGGGTCAAGTGGGATAATTGATACAATTGGGGTAATATTAAATACAATTTTTCTCTAAGAATATATAGCAGATTTTATTTTAGATAGAAAAGCTTAAAAGAAAAATTGAGTGTTGAAATGCTCATATTTAATTTAATTTAAGTTCATATTCTCTATTGTGCCAATAAACTTAGTAAACTAAGTGCGTGTACGCAATGAATACATACATATAATATATAAATATATTTATAATCAATCATGTAAAACGTTGTTTAATGACGCCAAAACTTATTATTCGTGTTACAAATTTTTTGTAAATCTCTATATTTCATTCTATGAAATTTAATGTATGTAAATATTATTAGTTACACACTTAACAATTAAGAATTTCTTATCACACGTTGCTAGTCTTAAAAATCAATATATGGTTTTAAGTAATACCTTAAATTACGTTTAATTAAATTCAGAACCGATAAACTTTTATATATTTATAATGCATATATATATACTTTTATATATAACTTTTAATTCATACTCTAATTTTTCATGGTCTTCATTTTTTTGGCTAGTAATTAATTTTTTGGAGAAAGAATATCTGATTTTGTCAGTTACTAAAAGGACGGTTGATCCGTCCTGCCGTCCTCGAGTACAATGAATGATGTCAACATATATTCGTGACAAGTATGTTTTCTAATGTTACAAAAAAATAAATTCTATGGAAATTTCTGACAGATTTCCGATCAATAGATATTTTTATTAAATTTTCATTACTATTTACATGTAAAAATCACAAAGTAACTTTTTGGCAAAAATGAACACAGTAAAATTAAAATTTGAATCCCATCACTCGTCAATAATAACAATGTTATTATAATTTCAGATAAGTTACTGCCAAATTGTCAATGCGTCGATAATAAAGCATAAAATAACTAGTTTTGATTGTGGGAGATTGAACGGTTGAGATAAGTGAGGGTAATCAGTTATCGTCGCTAAACAGAATATTCATCACGTTATAAATACCACTAGGGACCGACACATATCGACAGACAAAAATTCATTTGTTTACATCGAAAGTGTTTAATAAAAACTATGATCTAGAGTTTATATAATATTGATAACTCAACTCTGAAGTTATTTATTGACCATTTAAAAAATCAAATAACAGGAATATTTACACGTGAATAGAAAATACCAGAAATGATGTTAATGAAAAAAATAACGTCCTTTTCAATAAAAGTTTGGATAAATGTTATGTTATAGCCAGTGGCAACTCGTGGTTTGGACGACGGGACGATCGCACTCCCTACTAAAATTAATTAAAAGAAAAAAATGTATTGTATATTCTTAATTCTACATTTATAAAAAATATTTTTTATTAAAAATGCAAATTTTTAATAAAATAGTTATAATACAATTGTCATGTGTGAACATTAAAGTTGTTTCCCTAAGTATATGCTGGTACGCATGCACACACTAGTATTGTTTGGACGACCGACAGCGTCGTCCATACGGTAAAATAATAGTATATTACTAAACAGAGTAATTCATTTTTAGAATTAACTGCATGTACGCTCGTCGTTATCGGTTGTCTGTAATAGTATAATCACTACTATTATTATTTTCATTTCTATATTCTACTGCGACCTTCAAAAAAATAATGTGTATTATGTTTTATTTTATTATAATTAGTTTGACAATTTTTGATACCTATGACTTGTGGTATTAAGTCGCATCACCAATCGCCCATGAGCCACCACTAGCTATATCCTTGTTTTGTTTTGGTTTTATTATTTTTCTTGGTGTGTATTCACTTTTTTAATATGTTTTTAAGGCATGTCATGTTTTTTTTAAACCTAAATATTTTTATGTTTCATGTAGTTTTAATAATTTATATAATTTATATAATTGATATTACATATATATAATCTCTAGATTAATTATTAAAATGATCCGATACTTGGCATTCTAATATGAAATTCAAATTAAGCTAATTAAAAACTTTAGGGAGGGTAATTTTAATTTTTGATATGATAGGAATAGATTGCTTAATATTCAAAAAATTAAGTCCTAAGTTTATGAATCATAAGTTTTCTACCATCTATAGTTTTGAAAACAAAAAAATACTTTAGAAAATATTTTTAATGCAATAAAATGATAATAAAAATCTTGAAAAATTTTATTATTTAATTTAATTATTTTTTAAATATTACAATTGCTTATAAAATGTTTAAAAACAAATTATCTTAGATTAGCTTTAAAAAATTAAAAGTAGACTAAGTAATATAAAAAATAAAAAATTGACTAGTTTGATTAAAGATAAAACAATTATTTATAGCAAAAATTAAAATCACTATATTTTAGGAAACCAAACGTTTATTTATAATATAATTTAAAATTGAAGTTAAAAGACAATCATAACGGTAAAAATAACTACCAAGGAGTATCAAATTCGTTGAATTTTTTTTTTTTGAGAATTTGTTATCTTAAGTAGATTGCTTTTCAACTATAATTTAATTAATGTATATATATATATATATATATATATAGTCTCAAATAAAATGTAAAAACAAAATTTAAAACTTTCATTATACATAACAACAATTTCCGTTTAAAATAGAACAAAACAGGAAGTTTTTTATTTAAAATTAAAACTATATAAAAATATTATAAATTTAAAACTAAAAATGTTAAACTAATAAAATCACAAAACATTACTGAAAATGTATTATATAAAACAGAAAGACTAGAATAATATAGAAAAAGCGGTAGTTGAATAACGTGTAATGAACAGCATACATTTTATAAATACAATTTATTTATTATACCAACAGGCGATAAATAACAAATAGAAAAATAACTCAACCGGACGGTCTATTAATAGCAACAATTTTAGCACATTTGAGCGATACATTCAAACAAACATTTTCAGCAGATGAACACAATATTTTAAAAACGGCGACTAATTCAAATGAAATAAAAGTTAATAGGCAAACTGGCAACGTGTGATATTAATAAGGTTTAAGAATGATTCCAATGCTTTTAATAATATAAACTTATAAAAGCAACGTTACCAGATTGCTTAGGAACTTATTACTAAACTGCGGAACATGAAACATAACTAAGTGGCTATTAAGTAATGTAGAATCTTTTTTTTCTATCTTACCATTTGGCTGCCAAGTCATGTTTTCGCATACAATATATTCATTGTACTATACATTTATAACACTTTAATTTTGTTCAAAAAATTATTGGAATTCGTCGCTCTCACTACTTAGTTCTATTGACTTCAGTACTAATATTCTCAAATATCTGTGTAACAAATTATAAATAATCAATGAATTTGTCGCCAATTTTATGTGTAGTTTTCAATTAATTGTTCTAATGTATTTATGCAGGATATGACTCTTTTTATCATTAAATATTAAATACTGATCCAATGATTATTACCTACCAGTAATTTATTTAATTAGAGCATTTTCTATTATATAAGTTAGTTAAAAATGTATGTTGAATCTAAAAAAAGTTACTACTCTTATAAGAGATAAAGGATGAACCTAAAAAGTATTTAATCATTTATAAATTGTAAGATCAATAGTACTCAAAACAAAAAAATATTTCTAACATAATTATCACTTTAGGAAAACTTAGTGGTCTATGATAAATCAATCACTCGGTAAATCTAAATAACATTTTTGAATTTTTTTTTGAAATTATTTCAAGCAATTTTTAATCAACAGTTTTATATATTATTGAAGTTCAGAATTTAAAAAATGATTAATATTTTTAAATTTTCAATTAAAAATTTATTGGAATGCATTATTGATTAAATTATTATAAATTATATTATAAATATAATTTGAAATAAAATGTAAAAAGATAATTTAAAACTTATATCAAACATAATAACAATTTGTGCTAAGAATAGAACAAAATGGAATTACTATAATGTAGTGCTTGAATAATTCGTACCAAAAAATGATAAAGCCCTCATAATAAACAACATACATTTATAAATGCAATTCATATATATATATAGTACTAATGGGCAATAAATGACAAAAAGAAAAATAACTCAACCAGATGGTTCATTTATACTATAAATTTATTGTTAAATTATTGCTATAAATTTTATAGCAATAATTTTAGTATATTTGAGCGATAAATTCAAACAAACGTTTCAGCACATTTTAAAAACGGCGACAAATTCATTGATTATTATCAATTTGATGGAGAGATATTAGAGAAAATAATAGTGAAGGCAATTGAGCGAAGAGCGATAAATTCAAATAAAAGATTAGTTCATAAGCAAGCTGGCAACGTGGTTTTCATAAACATTAAGAATGTTTTTAACGCTCTGTCCTTCAGACTTCTCAAAGCAATGTTGCCAGTTTGATTATAAATTTATTGCTATGCCGCAGGCCACGCAACCGAGTGACTATTGAATAAGACAGGATCCCTCTATCTTACCATTTGGCCGCCAAGTCCCGTTCTCGCATGCAATATATACATTGTACTATACCTATATGATACTTTGTTCGACCGATTATTTGAATTTGTCGCTTTTACTTCTTAACTCGATTGACTTCAGTATTCATTTTCTCAAATATCTGTGTATCAAATTATAAATAATCAATAAGTTTGTCGCCAATTTGTTGTTTAGTTTTAAATTTATAACTTTAAAATTTCTTTCTTAAAGTATACAGGGTGATTTTTTTATCATAACCCACTCAATTACTTACAGAATAATAAAAATAAAAATTTTTTTTTTTATTATTATCTTTAGTTACACATTATTCTTGAATTATTAACTATGTAATACTTTTTAAGTTCATCCCTTATGCCTGGTAAGGGTGTCAACTTTGTTTTTTTAAATGGTAACACATATTTTGAATTTAATAAAATGTTTGAGTTTTTAATTTAATAACAAATGGCATTTGAATTTTTAATATAACTTTATTCGTTTATTAGATATAAACATTTAAAGTTTCAATTTTTTGAGTTAATATATAGGTATAATACACAAGGGATTACAAATACAGGTAGCTAATTGATTTTTTATGATATTGCTATCACATTCACGGATTCTTTATTATCAATTATGACTATCAATAGATATACTTTCTGTATTATCAGTTAGTGTATTTATAAACTCACAACAATGTACTTTACTACCATTTATAATAACAATGCTGTGTACCTGCTAATATTGATGTCATAAAAAACCAATTAGCTACCTGTATTTGTAATCTCTTGTGTATTATACCTATATATTAACTCAAAAAATTGAAACTTTAAATGTTTATATCTAATAAATAAATAAAGGTATATTAAAAATTCAAATACCATTTACTATTGAATTAAAAATCCAAACATTTTATTAAATTCAAAATATGTGTTCCCATTTAAAAAAACAAAGTTGACACCCTTACCAGGCATAAGGGATGAACTTAAAAAGTATTACATATTTAATAATTCAAGAATAATGTGTAACTAAAGACAGTCATAAAAAAAAATGTTTAAATTATTATTATTCTTTAAGTAATTGAGTGGGTTATGATAAAAAAATCACCCTGTATTAGTATTTGTATATGACTATTTTTGTAATTAAACGTTTCTTGGACGAACATTTTCACCTAAATAAAAAAATTGTAATAATTTCCAAAGTACTGATCAAAAATTATTTTTTTTAATATAAATTTTAAAAATAAATAGTATTCAACAAAACAAAAAAAATATTTCTAAGATTATTATTTTAGGAGAAATTTAGTGGCCAATGATAAATCAATCTTTTTGTAAATCTAATTAAATAACATATTTGTTTTGTAATATTTCAAGCAATTTTTAATCAACAATTTTATATATTTATGAAGTTAACATTTTAAAACTAATTGAATACCACATTACGTATATACATACATATAATAAATATTTTTAGTTATATTTCATACAATTTTTATTTATCAGGTTTATACATTAATTTGTTCATTGTTTTGTAAACTATTATTTATATTTATTAATTTTAAATTAAAAGTTATTACAGTGCATAAGCCATTAAATAAATTAAATTACAACATATATTTAGTCTCAAATAAAATTTAAAAAGAAAATTTAAAACTTCCATCAAACATTACAATATCTGCTAAAAATAGAATAACTATTATATAGTATTTGTGGTGCTTAAATAATTTGTACTTTAAATTGTCGAAGCTGTCATATTATACATTTTATAAATGCAATTTATTTACTATACCAACGGGCGACAAATAACAAATAGAAAAATAACTCAACCGGACGGTCTATTAATAGCAACAATTTTAGCACATTTGAGCGATACATTCAAACAAACATTTTCAGCAGATGAACACAATATTTTAAAAACGGCGACAAATTCAAATGAAATAAAAGTTAATAGGCAAACTGGCAACATGTGATATTAATAAGGTTTAAGAATGATTCCAATGCTCTATCCCTTTTAATTATACAGTCTTATGAAATCAACGTTGCCAGTTTGCTTATGAACTTATTTCTAACCCGCGGGACACGAAACAACGCAACTGAGTAACTATTGGTAAAGATAGGATTACTTCTATCTTACCATTTGGCCGCCAAGTCACGTTCTCTCATGCAATATATTCTTTGTAGTACACATTATTGACACTTTAATTTTGTTTCTCTGATTATTTGAATTTGTAGCTCTTATTTCTTAGTTCGTTTGACTTCAATATTAATATTCTTAAATATCTGTCCATCAAATTCAAAATAATATAAATAGTATAATAGTATAGTTTAATAAAAATGGAATTTTATCAATATACACTTTGACATACTTCTACTCGCCTATGTATAAATATGTTAATAAGTTACGAAGTACTGGTCCAAAAATTGTTATCGATCATTTACTTAATTAAATAATTGTCTATTTTATAAGCTAATTAAAAAATGAAATTTAGTAATATTTCAAAGAATAAAGGGCGGATCTAAAACATTTTTAACCACTTAGAAATTAATATTATATTAATTACCAACGCCAAAAAAAAATTTTTTTAAGATTATTATTATTTTAGGAGAAACTTAGTGGTCAATGATAAATCTATCACTGTGTAAATTTATTTAAGTAACATATTAAACATTTTTTTTATGTAACCGTTAACATGTCTACTTTGATTTGGGGAGGGGTGGCCTAGCCCCTTTAGTTGCATCTATGATTTATGATGATCATTAGAACGTTTAAGAGGTTGAATTTGTTTTTTTAGATTGACATCCGAGAGTACTGGTAATGTGTGCTACGTTACAAGTTTCCTTAAAACACTGTCAAATCCATTCTGTATACAGGACCGTTTTTAAGGATTGCTCGGAAGAGCAATTAACTTATAGAGGCGAATTTTAAAAGGAATGAGCAAAACCTACATATTTTGTAGGTTGGGTTAATATTTAATATTGTGAACATATAGTCGAGTAACCAAGTGTATCGTTAGACGATTTTATGCTAGTTAGGATGATGTGCTCTATAACTGATTGATTTTAATAAATCCTGAATTGTTCATCTTATTTCGTCTTATTCTACATAAACAAAAAACTAAAAAGGGCAAGGATGGGGTTCAACCTTTTAATATAATTTTTCTTTTTTAATTTTCATATTTTATTTCAACTTTTGGGGTCAACTTGGCCTAGTGGGTAGAAACTTATGTTTCGGTGCACTGTGTTTTGGATTCGATCCCAGAGTGCCGAGATTCTTCTTGTGATTTTTTCATTGGTGGTGTCTGGTCTCTGGTGCAAGCCAGCTATAATACCTGTCCATCCATCATTGGCCTAGTCAAGAATCATCTTTGACTGCTCATCATATAAAAGAGGGCCACCACCCTCTATAGCAAGTTAAGTTCGGGAACTAGAAGAATGTAAAAATTATCATTTTATTATTTTATTTCAACTACTCATATATTAGTGTTATTATTATTTTTTTCTTTTTTTAATACTTCATAATTTATTTTTGTATTCGTTATGTGATAATTAAATACTAAATTTATATTTACTCAACTATTTAATACATGCTAATCAATTAAGGATAAGATGCTCATTCTCTTGGGAATGAATATTTATATATTTTGGGAAAAAAAAATTATTTAATTAAAAAAACATTACAATAATACTATTATTTATTTTACGAAAATAAAATCTTCTCGATCGATTCCAAGAAAACGAGTGTCTTATTCTTAATCGATAATTATGTACTAAATATAGTTGAGCATATATAAATATATATGTACTTATTTATCACAAAATAATTAATAAAAAAGAAAAATTAATTATGCCTAATGAGTACTTATGATATATACAAACGGAAATAATAAATAAAAGTACTGAAGTTATAATAGTTCATGTGATTTGTGGCGGTTGCACTATTGTCAGTACCACAGTTTTATTCGGCTTATAACCTTTAAAATGTATTAACCCAATCCCACACAACCGTGTCATAGTATGTTGTTGTATATATACAGAGTAGCCTACCACTCACTGACAACTTAAATAACTTTTGATCCAGTTAATATTTTTAGTTAATTTTTTTTTTAAATAATAGTTATACCTTAGGTCTATAGCTATATCTCAATAATTAATTTTTTTACATTTTATTAAAAATATTAATTATTTTTAAATTTTAAATAAAATGTAAAAAAAAAATCTAAGATAGCTATTTTGTAGAGTAGAATTTAAGAAAAATTTTAGTAAAAAAATATCTTATTAATATTCAGTAGTAAATATTCTGTAGCGTTTTGAAGTTTGTGAAAATTTGAATTTTCATGTATTATTACTAAGAGATTAGTTTCTTTTATTCCCTTATATACATCTTAAGGTACAACATTTGTTCTTTAGATGTATTGTTAAGCAATATACGCCAATATAATATATGTATGATAATATATTTTTAAGTGATAACATATGTTTTCGTTTTATAAAATTATTTTACGTTATTAGGGTTGTACGATCATTAATAATTCAAGTATAATTAAAAAAAACTTAATTATACTGAGTACTTAATGTGATTATTGAGGTATATTATCTAAATTGAATGAACGTTCATTGTTCGCCACCGGACTCCTAATATACGGTTGGTCCGTATGACTAATATTAGCGCACCGACAAATCACAATAATTGGTTTTAATCATTAATAGTGGAAAAATAAAAAAAATAAAAAGGAAAAGGGTACCATTCATACAATTAATATATTTTAATAGTACAATTTTAGTATAATATAAATTTACATACAATGAAAACTAGAAAAACGTCCAAGCCAAGTCATCCACGGATTCTTCGACCAAGCCACATGGTCCAGGCAATGTACAGCAGAAGGTCTTCAACACTAAAAGATGATGGCCCGAATACAGCACAAAAAGAAAAAAAAATCAGGAACCAACGTCGTATATTTGGCGACCAACTCCACAAAAAATCCCACTGGATTCTCGTCACCGTACGCACACGATTAAAACGGCCGTGCGTAACATAACAACAACGCGTACAATACACTACTCTATGAGCAACGGAAAAAAATAGGCGACATGCACGACACGTTCAATACTGTCCACAACGTTGGTCAGCCGTACTCACGGACCGGTTTACCCCCGCCGCAAGCCTTTCAAGTACTCTTCATAATAACCGGCGCGAGCGCGGAGATAAGCCGGCCATCAGCTGACTACTTTTGTGCTGCCCAACTTGCTCAAACATTCATAATTCTTAGAATTAGCGATAACGTCTTCTCCGGTTCACCACTCTACGCAACTCATATGACAATAGAATAATACAATTTTATGTGCGGCTAGAAGCAGCACAAACCAGTTACATAAAAACAATTTTTCTATATAAAATATATACACGAAAAATCAACTTTACTTGCCAAAAATTCTAACAAAAACGAAAAATGACAAATACGCAGATACAATCACGTAGTCTTTTTTAAATAATATTGATAACTAGGTTTATAACTAGATCAGAAAGCCTACGAGACTTACGCGACGAAGGCACGTAAGCCATTTTGGCCTGTCCTCATAGTATGTCACTGATTCCGGTTGGAGTATACGGCTGCGCCGAGCACGATAAGTTTTTTGCAGGAAAAGTATTACATCAGAATCAATGAAACAAAAATATATTAAAAATTTAATCATTGAAATCAGAAAAAAGAGAAAATAGTAAAATGTATTGGGTATAAGGTTGACGTTTGTTACTAAGACATTTAATTGAGGCGTATTCAGAAATCATTTTAGGAAGGTATTTAATTTTTTTTTAATTTGACTAATATGCTATAGAAATATTTTTGCTAAAAATCAAAGTGATGATCAAAAAAAAGGTCATTAGAACCATATTTCTAAGTCGTCTAAAAAACTATTGATAGCGCTGTTTCAAGGGGGGCAATCGCCCATATCTCCTTAAATACGCCCCTGGTATACACAATAATTAATAATATTCTAATTATAATAACTGTATTAATATTATGGAATAATTACAAAAAAATTCGGCAAGTCATTATTCTAAGGACTTTTATACCTATTATACTTAAAGTCGCATCCCCACCCCCAGCACTCACGAGCAATCATTAATTATTGTGATTTGACGTTAGAAAGCATAGTTGTCATAGATGGATCCCTATTTTTGTAATAAACTCATAGACTTATACTTCATGTGTGAAATAAATAAGATTATTACATAATAACATATATTAAATAGGTAATCAATGTTAGAATAAATTTAAATAATAAATCAAATACTGTTGTTTAATGCCTATTTTGTCGTATTAGATATAACAAAAAAAGTACTTACAATATTATGAAATAATTTTTAGAAACAAGAATGTTTAATTTATAACTGAAATATCAATAACCGTTGTCAAAACGTCAAGTTGAAAAATCATTACAAAAAAAAAACCTAGTAGTAAAATTAGAAATATCCAATGCAATATTCTTAATTTACTTAGAGTTTTGTAAGTATTCTAACCGGCTTATAGATAATTGATACCCTTTTTCATGTTACTACTATTTGTTACAAAAATTATTATTTATAACAAACTTACGATTTTAATTTATCTGTTTTTGGTAAAATGAACATAATATAAAATAAAGATTTGCATCGAACTTTTTTTTTTTATAGTGATTTTAATCACTGTCAGATACCATTATATTTGATTCAACTATGCCACGTTATCACTGTGGCGCAACCCCCTGTGATGGTTTTTTTCAAAATAACATTTTGTTAAAAGATTTATAAATTAATTTATGTGCATAAGTTGTTCATTTTGAGAGTTTTAAGTTTTCTACTTTACTTTTTGCTTTCATTATCACAATAATATCAACTAATCATGACCCGTTTCTAAGTTTTATGTTTAATGAATAATAGTATATATAAGATTCATTTATTATATCATCCTCTCGAAATCAGGTTAACACATTAAACATTATTTGAAATCAATTTTAAGCTAGATAATATCTATTTATTTTTTATTTTGTTACTAAAGGTATCTTAAATTTATATTAAAAATAATAAAAAATTACTATAATTAAATATTAAGCAGCCAATTAATAAATTTTATCTAAGTCTAAGAACCATGACATAAAGAAGGGCTAATTTTAAACTAAAGGTGATTATACCCACTCCATCTAGTTACGCAAAAGGTGATTTTAGAATTTTTGTTATCACAAAAAATATTTTTACATAAACTATTTGAAATACAGCTGGAGTTATAAAAATGGTTCTCACCATGTGTGTTATAAATCACCATTTAAAGTTAAATATTTGTACTACGAATGTCCGTAATACAGTGCGTAGGATTGAGTTTTTAAAGTTTGCAAAACGAACATATTAAAATTATTATTTCCAAAATTTTTTTTAGCCCAATTTAAAAATCATGTTTGGCCTCCTTTCAAAATTTGAAATGACTACTGCCGTAATATATGTAAACATATACAATATAAAAATATATTGTAATTCTTACACTAAGTATAATAAATATGCGTTTATTTAAATTTCTGTACGATCAAACTCAGGGTTGTGTTTTTAATTTTTGATGATGTTAAATTATAATCTGGATCTGTTTAAGTCTTCTTATACCACTCATAGTTGTACCTGTGGAATCAAATATGTTATGTATTGTTACAGGATTTTAAACATTTTGCTATAAGTAAGATTTTATTTAATATGATACACAAAAAAAAATTATGATTTAATTATTCAGTTCCCCTACCCAAAAATGGATATCTATTCACTAAATATTGATACAATATCATAGATATATATATATATAATAAGTCGTATTAAATGATATCGAGTTATCACTAAAAGGAAAAATAAAATGTAATCAATTTTACTAGTTGGGTCAAAGTAAACAATTTTGTTTGCAATCATTATTTAATGAAAATTAATTATTATGGTCTTACTATATAAATTCGTAAAAGCACCATATAATACGTGGCCATTTATTATTTTTAGTAATTTTCATAAATTATTTATTTATTTTTCTCTTTTTCTTATAAAGTATTAAGGTGACGAATATACTGGTATAGTAAGTATGTTGTAATTTATTTACTAGTAACTTTGCCTTTTTGTGTCATAACTTGTAATGAAACATTAACTTTTATAATTACAGTTTATTTTTAATTTTAAATTTCATACAATATGATGCTGTAAGAGTTGTTAATTATACAAAATGACCAGTAGAAAACGAATAGTATTGAAGCCATTGTCTTTGACAACAACTCAACAAAGTAGAGTTCAGAGTAATGTTCATGAAACTTCTAATACACAGGTACTTACTCTATTAAATAGTCTTAAAATTAAACATTATTAAGTTCTACATATCAAATATAATATTAATACATAAATTTAAGAAGTCAAGTAAAATAGAGATCTAGCAATATTGATATCTGTTAGTAATTAAAAACACTGTTGTAGAACTCTTTGATGTGTATAAAATTTATCATATCCATCAAAAGTTATATGATAAAAATATTATGATTTTTGAACTAATAAAATAACAATTACAAGAAATTAAGTTCTCAGGTAGTTTTTTCCTCTTTAAATATATAATATTAGCATTAATTTAACGTAGGTTACAGAAGGTAGGGTTTTTGGATCATTTTTATTAAAAATGATGTTAATAAGCTTCTATTTTTAGTCTCTACAGTACCTTGATAAATGATTGGATTTTCGAGAAAATATATCATTGTGAAGGATAATGTCTAAAATATTATAAATAAAAATTTTGCAATAATCAGTCAAGTTTTTAAAAAGTTATTTTAATATAAAGTGAAAACTAAAAGTATCATTATTAACTGTTTTATTATAATTTTAATATTTTGGACATTTTTGTTTTTTTTATTGCGATTGAGGGGAATTTTTCAAAAATTATGTTGCAGATAGCTACAACTTGATACATTTCATGATATTTTGAATAATTATTAAGTAAATTTGGTTTAATAAAACAAAATAATCATGTTTAATGTTAAAAAAAAAGGCAGAGTTGCTTCTCTCTTATACATCAATACTAAAATTATTATTATGTTATTAATTTATAAATTAATATAATTAAGTGACATAGTCAACATTTTTCTTTGAATTAGAGCAGTTTTCACTATTTTCACTAGTATTCTAATAATTATTGATTTTTCTTATAAATTAGTATGTAAATATTCAATTTTTGAGTCTCAATGTAAAAATTATAAGAAAAATAAAATAAAATAAATTTTGAAATATTGGTCCAAAAGTTGTTATTTTTTTTAATAACATAATTATCTATTTAATAAGCTAGTTAAATATGTTGGTTTCTGTTTGAAAAAATAAAGTTGGCACTCATAAAAATCATAAGGGATGATTCTGAAGAATAATTAATAGCTGATAAAATAAGAAATATATGTAACTAAAATACTCAAAAGTTTATTTTCCAATATTGTAATTATTTTGCTAATAATTGAGTGGTTTAAAATAAACTGATCAATCTGTGTAAATATCTATATGTAATTTCAAAAAATTTTGTTTTAATTTTCTATCAACTGTGTGTGTTTTAAAATAGAAATTCATCATTAATTGAGTTTTCATAATATAGGAGGCAACAATAAATTGTTTTAATGGGCCATAAATTATTTTTATGGTAGTTATCAAAAAAATTGTTCTACACGGGCCGTTCAACATTATACAATAGTAAATTTACAACGAATATATGAGTATTTTAAATAATTGATAATATCATGTATGAATAATGACAATTACTGTATGCTAAACAGTAAATTATCAATAAATTATTAATAATCACTAAACTTAATCATAATAAAAGAATGGTTCATCATTTAAAAAAAATTATAAAAACAAAATTGATTAAAAAATTTTTTTATTATCAAAAAATAGCGTTTTATATTAAAAAAAATGAAAGTTTTGTTTTGTTATCCTGAATAGATGGAAATGAAATTATTTAACTACATATTATTGTAGAGGTTTTTGAACCTAATATGTATTTTTTTTACAGAAATGTAAAAATCTCAATTTCTTATTAAATTAATGTCTTTTCAAATTTAAATAACCCTGTATCTAAGAATTGAATATAGTAATAATTATATTCCAAGACTAGTGATCAAAATTTAAAAATCATATTTTATCTCTTTCAAGAAATCGGTGGTTCTTGATTCAAACAATATTTACCTTTACAAAAATTAAAATTTTTTAATGGTTTCAAAGAAAATAAATGTTTTAACCTTAAAGAATCATACAGTATATATAATTTATATGAGATGTCCTATTATAAAAGAACATTAGAAAATTTTTATAATTTTGTTTTTAGCTTCGATGCGAAGCTGAGAAGGTATTAATTTTACTATGATTTGTTTTTTTTTTTGTGTCTGTTACCACTTTTTCTCAGCTCTCATCGAACGGATTACTTTCAATGATACGTCAAAAGATCAAAAATCGTATCTAGTTGAAGACATTACCTTTAAAAATTGAAAAAATTTCCCTCGTTCCCCGTAAATGGGGGAAATCTCCAAAAAAATTAAACATTTAAAATTCGTTAATTTTCGAAATTTTTTCAATTTTTTTTTTACTAAAAACTGTCGTAACTTTTTCAAAAATGAACATATCAATATAATTTTTTTTTATATAGATGCTTGATGTCTTTACATATTTGGTATATTTTTTTTCTAAATCTGACACTTAACCTGCCCACAGGGGGGGATTTAAAATGACAACTTTTTCAACTTAACTTTTGAAAGTGTTCCGGAAAGTCTGACACTTTTATATATATCTTAAATTAAAGCTAATGTAATGCACTTTATTATGGAAAAAAAAAATGTTGTACTTTATTTTGTCTTCAGGGTGAAATTGGCTACCAAATGCTATTTTTGTGTAAAAATTCTCGATTTTATTTTTAACTTTATAATGCTATAACTTATTGAAAAGTGTATGGATCAACATAATTTTTTTATGAGAAATAATCATTTTTAATAATGCCTTTTTCATTCGATATACTTTATCTGAATCAGGATATTAATAACGAACTAGCAGATCATGTTGCTTTTGGAATAATCCACCAATTTTTTAAAATTAAACACTATCTAAAAATTTGCATCGAAGCGTTTTTTTTGATAGTGATTTTAATCACTTTTCAAAAATGAACAAATCAATATATATATATTTTGTTATAAATACTTGATGTTTTTATCTCCCTTTATGTAATTTTTTTTAATAAATTTGACCCTTTACCGCCCACAGAGGGTATTCAAAATGACAACTTTTTCACAAAAAATATTCTATTTCAACTTAAGCTAATGTAATTTACTTTATTATAGAAAAAAAAAATTTGACCTCTGGACTTGTCTTCGTGGTGAAAATGGATACTGAATGCTATTTTCATATGAAAATCCTTGATTTTATTTTTTACATTTTTAACTTTATAATGCTATAACTTATTGAAAAGTGTATGGATCAACAAAATTTTTGTATGAGAAATAATATTTTTTAATAATCCCTTTTTCATTCGACATACTTTATCTTAATCAGGATATTAATAAGAAAATAGCAGATCATGTAGCTTTTAGAATAATCCACCAATTTTTAAAATTAAACTCTATCTAAAGATTTGTAATGAAGCGTTTTTTTTTATAGTGATTTTAATCACTGTCAGATATCATTATACTTGATTCAACTATGCCAAGTCACCACTGTACCGCGACCCCCCCTGTACTTGGTTTTTTTTTATTCTTATTCTTGGTCATATTACTAGTTTTAGGTTTATAAAAATATTTGCTTAAATAATATTTTATATGAAATTATTTCAGTACTTTGTATTTTACTTTAGATTCAGAATTCTTCATTTATACATGGTAACAATGAGAAAAAAAGGGTACTTCTTAGTCCAGAATCGTGTCAACCTAAAGTACCTATTATTCAAAGAAGCAGAGTACCTGTACCAATTATAAATGGCAATTTATCAGATACAGATTCAGATGATTCTAGTCATGAAACTAAAGATATAATAGACAGAAAATTAACAAAACCTTTAAAAAATAATAATTATTCATTTTATGTTAAAGTTGTTATATTTTTATGTTGGTTATTTATTCAGTATTGGATGATTGTTGAAGCAGGTTTTGGAGCTGTATTTTTTGTGTGTTCTGCACTTATTGCAATATATCTAAATACATCTAATTCTCATAAAAGAAGAAATACATTAAGTGCTTATTCGGTATTTAATCCCCAATGTATTTCTATACAAGGTTCAGCGGATCCAAAACAATTAGAAAGAGAGCTTATGTTTAGTGGATTATAAGTGTTAGAATTATTGTCAACTGTTACATTTTGGTCAATTATATTGTGATTTACTATTAGTTGTGATTTAATTATATTGTAAAATTATTGTTTTATATTATTAATTAAAAATTATAAAAAATTTAGTATCATATTTTGAATTAATAGGCAATTAATTAACTTTATAAGATGAAAAATTAAGATATTGTTCTTACATAAATTGTAAGGCTATAATCAGTTACTTATGAATAATCTGTGCTTTAACTATTTGATTAACATCATTAAGAAACTTAATATCATAATTGTTAAATAGACTGCCTTAATATGCATATCAATCATCATTTAGAAGTATAAATTTAAGAGATAGCTATTTGACTAGTTTTTATGTCAGCATATGTATAATTTGGAAATACTTTTATTTAAATCACTACGTTTGTTGTAAAAATCAAATTTTTTGTTTCCTTTTTGATTTTATAGGTGACCTCAGTTAAATATCTCTAGTTATATTATATTTAAGTTTCCTAATATTAATTTATAATATGTCATTTATCAACAAATTTTATGGTGTATTTTGATAAAATAATTTTAAAATTTAAATTCTGTTAAAAACTAAAATAAATTTATAACGCAATGTATCAAAATAATTTATTTATTATTAAATATAAATTAATAATGAAACAAATTATAAAAAATTAACAAATTAATTTAATAATATAATATGGAATATATGTATAATTTTGATGGTAGGATGACATACAATTGTATCGTATGTCGAATTGATTAACAATTATGATCAAAATAGAATAATTTTTATTCTACAGCATTAATTATATGCTCAGTTTTGTAGGTAAATATATTTTTACAAAAATATTTGATCTAGAATATTTGAGCAATCCGGTAACTAATATCATATACCCTTTATAAATCGAATATAATAACTAATTATGTATAAATTAGTTATTAAACACTAAACATTTCTTAGCCTTATAAATTTATGCTAAACTAATGTTGTTATTTAACTTTCTTATTTTCATTATAATGTACAGTCAAGCATAATTGAACAATTTGATGTATTTATTTTTTTAGAGTTTGTAATACAAAATATAAAGATACCTAGTAAATCTTCATTAGTATTAACTATTTACATTTTAGAGATATAGATGGAGTATTAAAAAAAATAGAATTTTGGTATTAATAAAAAAATTTTCATAGCTGATATATTGATATGAAAACAAATTTTTTGTAACAACTATTTCAATGAATTATTAATTTTAATTAAAAATTTAATTTAATTTAATTGATTTATTTATATTTTATACTTAAAGAAAATAATAGTGAGAGACATATTAATAAGATAATAAATATCTATTCATAATCAGCAACAAGAACCATTAAGTAAACTCCAACAAGAAGTGCAGCAATTTCTTTAATTGATTGTTTAAAATTAGTATCTTCTAAAAGACTTGGGATAACATTAACTGTAGCTATGTAAATAAAACCACCAGCTGTAAATGGTAATACCCAAGAATTAGCAGCTTCACCTAGAAAAATTTATGATTTACTATTTAAGTAGATTTGAATAAACATAATATATCAGGTAGCTGATACATCCAAGTTAAATATATTTTATTAAGAGGATTTATCAAGCAATTTATTATTTCAACTTACTCTCTTTCCCCAATGTCAATGAAACAAGAGTGCCACATATAGCTCCCAAAGCAGTTACTAATTGACATTTCATAGCCTTAAAATAAAAAATTAAAATAAAAGATATAATGCTTTATTAACTAATAAGAGCTTACATTTTTTTTTGTACTGCCTTCTTTAATTAAGATTGCATAATCTCCAATTTCATGGGGTATTTCATGAAGTAGTACAGTAATAGTTGTGACTAACCCAATATTTTGGCCAGCTAAATAAGCTGCTCCGATAGCTAGTCCATCAGTGAAATTGTGAGTAAAATCAGCTACAACATTTAACCATCCAGCTACTGATAAATTTTGTGCAGATACTAAAAAAGATCAAATATTTTTAATAACATATTTAACTTTCAGTAAATTTATGATATACATTCATGATTATCATGACTACTTTCATCTTCATCATCACTCAATTTTTCTTTAGGATGTGAATGTGAATGACTATGTCCTCCTTTCAATGCTCTAACCATTTTTTCAACAAATAAAAACATTAAAATTCCTCCTAAAATCCATAAACCAACTCGTGTCTCATTACTATGGTCATGAACAGCTTCATGAGAATGTGTCTGACAGGAATGTTCATGTTCATGGCCATGAGTTTCGTGACTTTCTAGTGGGGAAAGTGAATGTGGTATTAAATGTAGAAACGCATCACCTAGAAGTCCTCCAGATGCAAAACTTAGGAGAATTTTTAAGAGAGATTGGTGATCATCTTTGTGATCAATGGGTATAAAGTAAAGAACAAAAAATGGAAATATGCTAATTGCAACTGTAGAAGATAATGCTTTTATCCACATCCAACCTACAGTATCATTAGTGGGAAGAGATTTGGCATGATTGTCTTTATGATGGCTGTGACTGTTACACAATTCTGGTAGACTCAATATGATGAACACAAGTAGTAGTATGCATGCTACTAACTTCAAACATTTTTTTGACAACATGTTATTTTTAATGTATGAAACGTAAAAATTATTTAACTCGTTAAAGAGATTTAACTAATTAACGTAGTGAAAAAACTTCGTCTAAAAATTACATATATATAAATCGCAACATAGCAATTATAAAAATAATCAAAACGAACGTTGCATAATATTGTTTGAGAGCGACAATTAATAAACGTACACGGATTGAACAATGTCGTTGAAATTTTCAAGTAATAAATCTTAATCTTCTTTACATCAGCGGCGAAGTTGTTTAACAACTGATAACGAGTTGTCACACATCATAATCACAAATAATGATACATCGTGGTTTATTATCTTCGTTGAAACAAGAGTAATGATAAAATTTAAAAAAAAAAGATGCAAGAGGTTAACCAACATAAATGACACGTCTCACGTTATTTTTTATGAGTATGAGCCACATAGAAAAAATTACAATTATTACTTTAAATATTTAATTTTATTAATTACTTAGTGCATAATTATTATTTTTTTTAAATTATTGATGGCTTATTTCATAAATTTTGTCAGTGCATATTTTGTTTTTTTTTTTAATGGGAATCGCTCGAACAATTTTTTATGTATTGTAGCTGTAAAATGCTATCTTGTAAACCTGATACGAAATTTTTTTTACAGTATATTTCGTATACAGAGTGATTCTTTTATGATTAACCACTTAAATAATCGAATAGTAAAATTAATTAGTTATGCTCATGCATTATGCTTTATAAAAGTGTTAACTTTATTTTTACAAACAGTAACATACACAATTAACTAGCCAATTTATTATATAATGATTTAATTAAGAAAGTAACTGGTTGATAACAATTTTTGTACCAGTAATTGAGAATTTATTAATAATGTTAACTATTGACTAGGTGAGGCACAGGTGATGCTATTTTTATTACTAGGGCTCGTACGTTTTTGTTGTTACACAGGAAAATATGCTAATTGCGATACAAATCCATTTTGTACAAAAGTAATAATTCTGAAGCTTTATAGGAATGATTTTGAATATTTTGGGTTTATGCTCATATTTTATATATATGCTCATGTTGATTCATTTGAGCTTTTATTGATATTACATATTATTTTATATTTGAAAGGAGGGTTATTATTCGTCTAATAATATCCGTTATATTTACCTAAACTTTTAATATGTATTTTACAAAAGAGAATTCTTTTCTAAATACTACAAATGTGCGGAAAATGTATAACTGAAGCTCAAGAGATATGAAGAGGCATAAAGTTTTTGAGTCATAATATGAAAACTTGGGAATAGGTAATAGACAAAAAAATAAGAGGAGATACATTACAAACAAAGAACTAGTTTGGATTTTTGCCTGGAAAGTTAATATAGAGATAGTTTTTTTGTGTAAGACAACTAATAGAATAGTATAGGGAAAAGAAGAAAAAACTGTGTATGGTATTTATAGATTTGGAGAAAGTGTATGATGGAGTACGAGAGAGGTTTTAAAGTGTGCACTAATAAGAAATAGAGTCCTAAAAATGTACTTTAATATAATAAAGGATACATATATGATGGCACTTGTATCAGAGTAAAAAGTGTGAGCGGAGTACAAGAATTTAGGGTAAGAGTAGGAGTGCACCAAGGTTCGCCTTTAACCCCTTACTTATTTTCAATAGTGATGGATGAATTACTATAGAAATACAAGGAAAGGTATTGTGGTATATGTTGATCGCTGACCGTATAGTGTTAATAGGAGAAAATAGGAAGGAAATTAATCAAAGAGGAGTGAAGATCAGCTCTTGAAGGAAAGGGATTAAGAATAAATAGGAGTAAGACAGAGTATATATATAGAGAGAGTACAAGTTCGACAAAGGATAATACGAGGTATTTGAAATGAGTAGATTATTGAGTAGATGAGACTGTCGTGAGATAAGCTATGGTTCAGATTGAAATTTGCACGAGAACTACTTCAATACTAAACAAAATTTCAATCGTCTTTTTCACATTTTAAGGTTTGAAATATAAGTTTTTATAAAAATTGTGCTAGTAGTAATAAAGTGTAATTTAAGACTTATGCTATCCAGGATGTTGCTATATGCGATTGATTTTGCGTAATACTAAATTCGTCATCTTATCCATAATTTATAGAAGTAATTTCAGATCAAGGTGATTGGATCATAATATTAGCAAATTAATTTTTACAAGATGAGTTTATAACAATCTACTAAAAAAAATGTGTTATGGCAGTCCTAAAAGAATCGCAATTTTGCCAGTAGGATCCATTGGTGTAATCATGGGAGTGGTGAAAATTCATTTAAGTATAATTCTTCCTGTATCAATTTATAATTACGCCATTACTTGGGTCACTATTGTTATTATAGTAGTAATACTGGTTGAGTTTGGGTTATATTACATATATTTAATAAAATACAGAAAGTTTATGCATTTAGAATCATTAATTTTATGTAACTTTAACTTAGAGATTAATTAATTTTAGTTTGGTTTGGGTTCAAATAATCCGTATAACTATTCAGTTCGATAACACTATTTCGGAATAATTTAATCTAGCTATATTTGCTTTATGTGGAAGTTGTAGCATTCTTGTTTGTTTGTATCTATTATATAATTCATTGTTAGTACTAGAAACGCTTATCAGTAATGTCGTATTAAGTCTATGAGTGTGCAACTCAACTTTGACTTAATCATAAATATATCAACATTGTTTGCAAATTAGTAATCAGATATTTGTTAAATTGTTAACCGGTTGATAAAGTTGTGTTTACTAATTAAAAAAAAATTATATTTGATGAAAAATTTCCTGTGGCTTTATCATGACTTCAAAAAGAGATTCACAAAGTAAGATTTGTATACAATTTTAATTTATTGATCAATTACTGTTTTTTAAATTAGTTTAACTCAAAATCTGTATTTAAGAGTTTTAAAACTCATAAATTTGTAATTTTTTAAGCTAGCTAATGGTAATAAGCATAATTGATAAAAAAACTCTTGGATGTTTGTTATGTTAAAGGGTGTAAAAACTAAAATATCTAAAAAAAATTCTAGGTTCCATTTATCGATGGATTGAAAGAAAGCCACTTTCAGAAGCAGTTTTATGGACGTCCAGGGAGAAATTTTGGTTAATTACTGCTACCTGTCATTATGGAACACATGACTGGTATGTTATTTTTATAAAAAGTTTTAATATTTCAATTTTTATAAATATCATCAAAATTTTAGGAAATCGATTGCCCAAGTAGTAAAGAATGCAGGAGAAGCTTACAGGCCAAAAGAAGGATGGTACACTTCAAAAAACTGTGAACGTCAATTTAAAATAATTATTTCTAATTTTAGTAAGGATATAAAATCTCTACCTTTTAATGACATGATGGAACATATTGCTGAAAGTTTAAAAGAAGGTAATTGTTTTTAATGTAGGAATTTTAACTAAAAAAATGCACTAGTAAAAATGAAGGTATCTTTATTTCAACAACAATTAATCATTGTTAAATCAATGACAGAATTGTGCAAGTTAAAGTTTTAGTATACATATTCTTTTTCAATAAATAAGACGTTTCAATGTTGATATATATTTTAAACATATTTTTATTGAAATATATTTTATTTCTTTTTTATTAAAATTTGTAATGGAGCAATATACTTACATTCATCTCAGGGTTACATTTTACAATATTTAGGCCAAAGAACAAGATTAATTTAATTCCTTAAAAAAATTATGTGAAAACCTTTTTAAGTAAATGATGTGCAAAAAAAAGTTTTTTATCTGGCAAAATGTTATTATTAAAACAAGTGTCCACTTGTCGCTTCTCTGGAATATGACCCTGATTATCGTCCTATATTATATAATAATGGTTAAAAAAGTGTGTGATACACAACTGAATGTATACTATTGACATTGTATTCTATATAAATTTTAGATTACATACGTGATGTTAGTAAATCAAACGATTCCTTGAAAACAAAATATTGTAATTTGTTTAGTATAATGAACAGAGTGAAACAAGGTAACCTTACAAGAAATGAAGTTGTGAATCTATACTCTCAAGCAAGAAGGTTTGTTATTGTATGAGATATCCTAAAAATAAAAAGTAAAATACTTCATCAATTAATATTAATATTTTAATAGGAATGAAATAGAAGGAAAGCAGTACATGGAACAACTAATGACCAGACAAAATTCAACTCTTGCATCAGATATATTTACCTCTGAAACTACTGATGAAGTAAATAATATCTTAAAAATATTTAAATGTCTCAATAGTAATTAAGTTTTCATTTTAGCTTCGATACGAAGCTGAGAAGGTATTGGTTTTACTAAAATTTTTTTTTTTTTTTTTTTTGTGTTTGTTACGACTTATTCTTAGCTCTCACCGAACGGATACGTTCAATGATACGTCAAAAGATCAAAAATCGTATCTAGTTGAAGACATTACCTTTAAAAATTGAAAAAATTTCCCTAGTTCCCTATAAATGGGGGAAACCTCCAAAAAAATTACAAATTTAAAATTCGTTAATTTTCGAAATTATTTCAATTTTTTTTTTACTAAAAACTGCCGTAACTTTTTCAAAAATGAACATATCAATATAATTTTTTTTTTTTTATAGATGCTTGATGTCTTTACCTATTTGGTATATTTTTTTTCTAAATCTGACACTTTACCTGCCCACAGGGGGGGATTTAAAATGACAACTTTTTCACAAAAAATTAACTTTTGAAAATGTTCCGGAAGGTCTGACACTTTTATATAAATCTTAAATTAAAGCTAATGTAATATACTTTATTATGGTAAAATAAAATTTCGGACTTTATTTTATCTTCATGGTAAAAACAGACTTCAAAGTTAATAAAAAAAATACGATTTTTGTAAAAAAATTCTTTTTTATATTTTTAACTTTATAATGCTATAACTTTTCTATAGATGTATGGATAAATATAATTCTTCTTTTTATGGTTGCATGATCTCTTTAACTATCATTTAGTATAATTTTTTTATAAATCTGACTTTTTACCTGCCTACAGGGGGGGATTCAAAATGACAACTTTTTCAGAAAAAATTTACTTTTTCAACTTAAATTTTGAAAGTGTTCCGGAAAGTCTGACACTTTTATATATATCTTAAATTAAAGCTAATGTAATGCACTTTATTATGGAAAAAAAAAATTTCGTACTTTATTTTGTCTTCAGGGTAAAATTTACTACCAAGTGCTATTTTTGTGTGAAAATTGTCGATTTTATTTTTAACTTTATAACTTATTGAAAAGTGTATGGATCAACACAATTTTTGTATGAGAAATAATCATTTTTAATAATGCCTTTTTCATTCGATATACATTATCTGAATCAGGATATTAATAATGAACTAACAGATCATGTTGCTTTTGGAATAATCCACCAATTTTTTAAAATTAAACACTATCTAAAGATTTGCATCGAAGCTTTTTTTTTGATAGTGATTTTAATCACTGTCAGATATCATAATACTTGATTCAACTATGCCACGTCACCACTGCCGCGACCCCCCTGTGCTGGGTTTTTTTTTTTTATAATAATAAAGTTAACTTTCTGAAAAATTGAAAAGTGAAATTTTTGTTTTCTTAAATAAATTTTCCAAACTAATTAAATATAATTCACATTTTCAAAGAGTATACAAAAACAAATTAATAAATTCAATGTAGTATGCTATTTTATACAAAAGTGAATTAATTTTAGCAGTAATGCATCTCATTTAGGTTTAAAAATGTATTTTAAAGTAGTTTTAATTATATTACTATGTGTCCTAAATATTCAAAAGTGTTTTATTGATTTAATAGTTTAAAATTCATTATGTTTCTTTTAAAATTTATTATTATTAAAAGTTGTAAATGTTATAATTATATTTTAGAACATTATTGATTATAAAATAATTTATTTTTATGAAAAATTTATTTAGTATAGTATAAAAACCTAAAAATTAAAATTTTTATTTAATTATTATATATTTATACAGATTAAAATATAAAAAACAAAATTATATAACCCCAAATACTTTTAATTTGGTTAACAGATAAAATGGTATAATGTTATTTTGTTTTAACAGCCAATAAAATGGAATACACCTTCTGCTCCATTATTAACAAGTCTCTTAAGATCTCGAAACACTATTCCAGCCAATAGATCAACATCAACAATTGCATCATTGTTACAAAATCCAGCTGGAACTCCTAGAACTAGATCTGGGAAATTATTACCTTTAACATCATCTCCAAGTGTTAAAACTACTCAAGGTACTATTGTAAAACATATATTTTTTTTAACTAAAACTATTTTACTTCTATGGTAAATTAATACAAATTTTTAGGTACTCCTACACTTTCAAAACTGTTAGAAGCACCTGCAAATCCTTATATCCAATGCCCATCACCTACTCAAAAGGATAAATCATGTAAGATTAATAATTATTTAAATCTTAGTTAATAATAGAAAGGTTTGTTGTAGAAATGAGGTAACTCCATATTTTTGAATTTCATGAGAATCATTAAGTTTTTTAGTTATTTATTATATTTTTATGTAATACAATAGTGTTTGCAATTTTTTCTTTTTAATTATTTGACAATAAAATTGTGCAGTTGATTTTTTCTGGTATAAAATTAAAAAAATTTTTCTTTTGACAACATTAAACATTTAACTCCAAATTACCCATAAATGTAGGTATCTCTTTTTTAGCAAACCTTCAATTTTATGCTTATATAATTACCTATCAAATATGTTTAGCATTTAATAAATTTTAAATTAATTAATTTATGTGTTTAGACAAAACAAAATATTTATAGTTTTTTTACTTGTGATTTAGTACAATTAATAATAAAACAGTCTTATATTTAATGTAATAATAGTAATAATAATATAGTATTGAAGTTAGAATAGTTCTTGCAATTAAATATTATAGTTAATGAGTTATTTTTTTTAAAAGTATTATTTAACAAAAAACATACCTAAACATTTTTATCGGTTTTTATATATTTTTTTGGTTTGTTAAAATTTTCACTATTAGAAAAAAGTTAAAATGTATGAATATTTAAAATGGATGAGAAATTAAATGTATTAGATGTGTATTTTGTTGTTTAGAAAGTCAGATTTTAAAAATATGCAAAAATTATTTGAAAAAATATGTTTTTGAAAAATTAAAGATTTTATACAATAATATAATTATCTCATGTTATTTAAATGAGGAGAAAAGTACTCTTAAGAGATTTATTAGGATTAACCAAAGAACTCAAATTTGGATAGCTACCCTCTATTGGTGTGTACTTTTAATTATTGAGAAAACCAAAAAAAAAAAATTTTATTTTAATCAATCTAGTGTTTATGAAAATAATTAAATAAGAAATATATATAATTTTTAAAAATATTTTGATGTATTATTTTATAGATGCTGCTGCTGGATCAGATAAATCACTTGGAATTAATAAAAAGGTAATCAGTATAATAATATGTTTTTTGTTTAACTAATGATTGTTGTTTATAAATTTGTTAACTATTTTTATATTTTTTATACTAACGTTTACATTTGATGCAAGGTAATTAATTTGTTATTATAAAATGTACTGCATTATTATAAGTATAAACCATTTTTTATATTACTTATATTTTATAGAAAAGTTAATTTATTATTATTATAGTATAAATCAGAATTGTTTATTTTAATATTATACTTGAAAAAAAAAAAATTCATTCCAAATTACATTATTTTTCAAAAATATATAACATTAAAATTTTTTTTTCGTTTTTCATTGTTTATTATTATTTAATTTTTTTGATGATTTTATTATCTTTTGGAAATAAAAAAGATGATTGTTTTACTATGACTTACGTAATGTCTTTAAAAATATAAACAATTTTTTTTGTGATATTAGTATTCTACGTTCTATAGTTTCTAAAAAATTGTCATGTGCCCTCCTTTCCTTAAAATGTTATCAGATTTTTTCAATGGATAGATATATAAAACATTAGCGTAAAATCAAGAATAGTCCATAACATTTTTAGTGGATAATTTTTAAAATACTATACTAATTCTTTGAAAATATATTATGTTATAGAAATTATATTTTATTATATACTTAAAAAAATATTGTGTGAGTCATATTTTACAATCATTCTGTATAGTTTGTTGTAGTATTAAAATTTATTCATATACATCATCATTTTTAGGAAAACTTACAGACTTCATCAATAAATAAGAAAACCATTCTTGATTCATATACACATGATGAAAATATAGAATTGAGAGATCAAATATCAAAGAGCCTAGCTTCTAGCAACAAAAATGAAACCAAATTAATGACTGGTAACTTGTGTATAGTTAATTTATTAAGTGACAGTGAAATTGAGGAAGACAATATTAATAATAATGAAGATTTATCTGCTGTAAATTGTTTAGGGGAACAAAAAATAGAAGATAGACTAATTGAACCCCGAGCTACCAGGAGTCAAACAAGGGCAGATGGACAAAATTTTAAACAAACACGAGAAGAAAAAATTGTTGAAGATAAAAGTGATCAACACATTAAAGAATCTCAAAATACTGATGAACTTTTAAATGAAGTTGATATTCCATTTGACCTAGATAGTATTGATGTTGAACCTTTATCAGTGATCCAAGAAAAAAGCACTCCAGAAACTATACATTGTAATAAAAGTTTAAATTTTAATCAAACTGTCCATAAAGATGTTAGTTCAACTCTAGAATTAGAAAATATATCACATTTAAATACATCTGTTGAAAATGAGAATAAAAATTTAACAGCTGTTCAATCACAGATTGATGATGCTAATATTTCTGAGTGTTACGTTCCTATAGATAATTCCATCATCAAAGATACAATTTTAGTACGCAAAGATAATCAAACATTTTCTACTACCGGAAAAAATATAATTACATATGATGGACAATTGTTAAAACAAAATAAAATAATAGAATTTAAAGGGACAAATTTCAAATGTGTTGACAGTAAAGGAGATTCAAAGTTAATCTCTTTTGTAAATCAGCCTATTGTTGTTGTTAACAAAATAAAAAAACCTTTTAATATTAAATTATCCTCTGAAATTAAGGATTCTAAAGATAAGAGTGATGTACCATCATCAACAAATGTTGACTCAAAGAAAACGACACTTGTTGAGAGTTCACAAAATGTTAAACATAACTTTAGTGAAACTGGTTTAATTGATGATGATGTTATTGTTATTGATGATGATAGCATGAATATGAGTATTAATGAAGAGAAATCAAGTATCAAACAATCATCAAGTAAATCTCCTATTTCAAATAGAAAAAATATATCCAATATTTTAAATAATGATGCATCTGAGATTGTTACTTCTAAAGCAAAAAAAAGTAGTGTTGATAGTGGAAATGGCCATCTCATAAAAGAATTTGAAGTTGACTTAGATCCATCAACTTCTCAAAACTCATTATCTAATTTATATAATGGTGTTGAAGAAATTGTAGAAATGCATTCATTAGATAGCGAGGATATAATTTTGGAATGCGATTCAGTAGATATTCATGAAACAGAAGTTACTTCAGTTAATGAAAATAATTTAAATTCTGATGCTTTTGATACTTTTGCTCAAAATATTACCAATAACCAAAAATTAACTTCTTCTAAAATTATTAACTCTTTAAATTCTGAAACACATTTATTAAAATATATTAAAAAGGATAATGAAAAACTTGGAGCTATTCAATCAAATGAACTGGATGTTTCTGTTACAGGAATACCTGTATTACAAGATGTGATATCCGATGTTATGAGTAAAATAGATTCTAACTGTGTAGAACCTATTAAAAACGCGGATTCAATAGCTCAAAATTCTACTAATGTTATTTTTGAAATAAGTAGTGATGATGAAGAAATAATAAAAAATATAAAACAAGATAGAAAAGGCATTATTAGTACAGATAGCCTTAAGTTAAAAACAGAAGAAGAGACTAATTTTCAAAACAAAACAAAAGATAAAAAAAATAGAGAAAGTATTAAAGTAGGTGTTATGGAAAAGGATGACAAAAGTAACTACGAAGAAAGTTATGTAAATGTCAAAGCATTTGAAAATGATGAAATGAAAAAAGAAACACATATTACAGTAGATGAAATTATTAAACCTGAGGTAAGAAATACTATTAAAGGAGTGCATTTTGGTAAAGATGCTGAAATAAAAGATGACGAAAAAAAATTGAAAGAACCTGTATCACTTATATTTGAAGAAAAAGGGATGTTTGAATCTAAAAATACATTGGCTGAAGGTAAACTTAAAGAAACTGAAAATAAAAATAATAAAGATATTAAGGCTAAAGAAATAGAAGAAAAATTGGATAAAACTAAAGAGATTGATGTTAAAGATGGCAAAACAAAAATTTTATCCGAAGTAACTAAACAGCCAGAAGAAATTATGAGAGAAACTAGAAGGAGTAAAATATATGATAGTGATGGTAAAAATAAAAATGAGTCAAAATTAATAGAAACTGAATCTAAAAAACATAAGGTTGAAGAAATTAAAAATAATATTAAAACTAGAGGAACAAAAATTGAAGAAATTGGTATAACTTCAAAACAAAGTCAAACTAAAAATAATAAATTATTAGATTCATTTTCAATAGACATTTTAAGTTCAACTAGTATCTCAAAATCATCAAATGATGATGATAAAGCAATAATAGATGAAAAAACCAAAAAAGACATCAATATTATATCAAATGAAAGTAGTAGTAAAACTCTTACTCGTTCTTCAACCCAAATAAAGGATACTAAAACTTCAGAGAAAAATAAATCATCTCTTTCATTTAATATAACCCAATTAGGTGAAAGTGAAACAAATGTTCAGATGCAAGATCTATTAGATGACAGTAAATGTATTCAATCAAATGAATCTAAAGAAGATAAAATTTATGATATAAATGTCACACATAATAATACAAATGATATTCAAATTTCCAAAGAAAAGAGATTACAAAGAACTTTTGAAAATCAGCAGGATGCACTATCAAAGTGAGTTCAGTTAAATGTAAACATAACTTTTAAAAACTGTTGAATTCTTGTTTAAATTTTTGTAGTTCAAATGAAGTAGTTAGTAAAACCAACGATGAGACATCTCAAGAAAAACTTGGTCCTAAAAAAAGGGGCAGAAAGCGTCGGATTGATCAGCTTGTGGAATTAACATCAACAAATCGGTAAATTAAAATTAACATTAAGTTAGAATCATAATAAGGGAGGGGTCTTGAAGGACGTGAGTCCAATTGAAATTCATATGACAAGCTAAAATGTTACTTTTAAAAGGATTTTGACCAAAAGAAAAAAAGTGTATAAAAATAATAAAATTTTAATAATAAATATTAGAAAATTATAAAAAAGTTTTCATTTGATATATTCTATATCTATATTCTTTTAGATTAAATCAATAAATAAGAAAAAAACTTTATAAATTTTTAATCTAATACATAAATAACCCTATAAAAACAATAAATATTTCTTAAGTATCTTAGACAATAAAATAATATAGAATATGAAAATAAAATTATATGAGTACCAAATTATGGTAGGATTAAATAAATTTAGGTAATTATAGATTGATTAGAATATGACAAAATTAATAAAAATAAATTAAAACATAAATTGACTAGATAGTTGACCCATTTACTGAATTATTATGCATCCTTATGGCTTTTTGATTTAATTTATTAACAATATTTAAATTAATTAGTATGACATTTATAGTTAACTAGAATTCAATAGAAATTTTAATAATGAATTAGATGATTTTTACTTTTTATTCGTTAAATGAAACAATTAGAAACAAATAATAGTATATTATGTTTAGTATTCGCAGTTGCACAGAATCACTGACTAGAACTGTTATCTGTATCTAAAGAATTACACAAATTATGAATAAATAATAACTAAAATGATACAATGTAATGAAAATTGAAAAGGGTTTTTATAAGAAATTTAACATCTCAACTGGCTATCATAGTTGACTCGATTATTAAAAAAATTCACTGAAAATTTTATATTACTATTTTGAAGTCTGAAAAATTATAAACTGAATAAAGCCAATTAAAATTTTTAATTAATACAAATACCAAAAACAAAAAAACCTATTAAAGTTATTAACACTTAAAAGTTCAGTGTAATTATTTAAAAGAATAAATAAAAAAAATAACTTGTATAGCTTTTTTAATAACAAAAACAAAATTGGGTTTGTTCTACTACAACATATACTATTATATATACGATACAATATATATGGTAATAATAGATTTTACCTCTTTTTTTCTTTTTTATCAAAATAGTTAGGGTATGTTGTGTCATGTGTGGGTAGTAATAGCTAAACGGCTGGTAGTCGTAATATCCACCATGACTATGTGTGTAGAATAGGAACTTGATGCATAGTATAGTAAACTAGTTTGAGTGCTTATTTGCTGCAAGTACAACAAGTTTACTCAATGGTCATTGTGTTTGTGTGTGTGTGTGCTGTTACACACAAATAGAAAACATTCAGATTCTTTACTTTTTGTTCGGGTCTAATAATATGGCAAGATACTGTGAATTATTAAAACATTAATTGTTATTTTTATAGAGAAAAATCAATTTCTCAAGATGGATCTATTTCTGAAAATGATTTATCAGTTGATGTAAGTAAAGTACAGTTAATTAAAATTTATCTATGAATCAATATAATATATATATGTATTTAACAGAATGAGTCTTCAGCAAAGAGGACAAGAAAAAGTGTACATTTTAATTTGGATTCAAAAGAAAATGGAAAAGAGCCATCAGACTAGTAAACAATTTGAATTAATTTATTTTAAATTCTTTCAATACAGCTTATACAGCTGATTAGTATTTTGTAATAATTAATTTTTAAATTATAAATATTTTCAAGAAATGTTATCAAATTTTGAGGGCAATGTCTACAACTAGACATATTTTGAATTCTTTTAAATTATTGGTTAGTAATTGGTCTGTGGAAGTTAAGTATTTTTATGGACAGAAAAAAAATTATTAATGTAAATCAATATCTTTTTCAGCTTTGCATTAAATCTAGTATATGCAATTTATATTTTTGTGATAACTTTTCAAAAACTTAATTCAAATGACAAAACATTTTTAGGAATCATTTTTAGATACTAAAATCAACATTATGTGTAAATTTTAGGATGTTTTATTATTTTTTTAAAGAATATTATTATTGAAATTATTTAATCTATGAAATGGTTTTCGAGTATATACTTTTTATATGGTAATAAGATAAGTTGAATTTCTTTTTGTTATGCAATTTGAATACTTATATTGAATATTAAAAATTAAAAAAACAAAGTAAATTAAAAACATAATTGTTTCCTAGTATTAAATAATCAATTATTATTCAATATAATTGTTACATAAACCTTTCAGAGTTTCATAAACCTTTCAATTATCTATGAAAAAAATGGGTAATTGATTTTTTTTGCTTTACAGTATTGAAGATAAAAAAGCCAAGAAGAGATCTTTGAAATTACTCTTTGATAATTTGTGTCAAACCAAGTACTTTTCAATGTTTGAAAAGCCACTTAAAGAAATTCCTATTTATAAAAATGTAATTGATAGGTAAGTTATAAAATACAATTTTTTGTTTGTGAAATGTAGTATTTAAAAAACTTAGGTCAACAGTTTTTATTGGTTTATGTTTGACTAGAAATTTTAGCGGTTTTAATATTTTTTTTCTACTTATGATATTTTTACCAAATATGACAATTAAAATGATAAAAAAAATCTATATATGTATTACAAAATATTTGAATATGTATTATAACAACTAAAGAGTCAATAGAATAACACAAAATATTTTACATTCATAATTATCAATTATTTTGTAAATGTTTATTATTAGTCCATTGGAACTCAAAGATGTTAAAAGAAAAATTGAAGCAGAAGAAATAAAAAATATAGATGAGCTACAAATAAATTTGATGTTAATGTCATTCAATGCTATTATGTTTAATCCAACCAACAGTACAGTCTCTAATGATGCTACAAGCTTACAATTTGAGCTTAAATATAATTGCCAGGTAAATTCTTAGATTAAAGGAATTAAAATTTGTGTGATTAAAGATATTAATGGTTTTTAATTAATTTAAATATTAATTTTCATTGAACTTTTAGTTATTACAAGGCGCAATAGAGGAAAGTTGTTCTGAAGATGAAGATGATGAAGAAAATGAGGATGATAATGAAAATGATGATGAATTGAATGATAGTGAAGAAGGTTCCACTACAACTGATGATTCTCAACCAAAAAAAAAAAAACGTAAAGTCAATTCTAGCAGTGATGATGATGTAAATGATGACAATTAATGATACAAATAAAATAAAATTATGTAATTAATAATTAACCTCATTAAATTATGATAATTGTACAAGTAAATAGTTTATATTCCATGATTTTTTAATTTTTTATTTGTTATACATTTTCCCTGTTACTTTTGTTCCTTTTGAATTTATTTTTAAATATTTAAATCCAATCCATTTTAGTTTTATCTTTAATTCTAACTTTAATTTTAAAATAATTTAGTAGTATTATTTATGTCTAATCAGAAATTATTTTAGAGATTTTTTTTTGTAAACAAATTGCTCCATTTAGTAACATTATATCTCAGTATAATTGCTATATTTATTGTTTTACATTAAATTTCGTTAAATTTTAAAAAAGCAGATATATCAGATTAGTAAGTAATAATGATTAATACAATTATCATGTAATCATACAATTTTAAATTAATTTTTTTTTTTGTTGCATTTACTTACCACGTTTGAACCGTGCTAACCATAATACTGTCTACCGCCACTTCTTGACGTATTTTTTCCTCCTACATCAACATATTTTTTTAATATGTTATAATTAACAGTTGATTTTTTATGTAACCGATGTAATGGTTGGCAAAAATTGAAAATGGATATACTGTACATTAAAATAATATAATTATTGAAATATAAATGAGTTTATTCAATAAAAAAAATCGAATTTAATTAATATCACTAAATTAATAAATAATAACTATAGCTATTTTTCAAAATCTGACAAAAGTAGTTTTTCAATGCAAATTTATCGAAAGGGTAATAAATAAAATTTTTTAAATATATTTCAGCGGTATCTTGTGTATTTATTAAAATGCAAAAAACAAATCATGACAAAATGGACTTATAATTTTTTTGCTAACGGCTAGAAAAATCTTAATACTAATTATGTAAAATTACAAAAGTCCATTTTTGTAATTTATAAACTTTTGGATTTAAGCTATAGAAATCAATCAAAGTAAATATAATTCAAATTGTTGCTACCCCTCAAAATTTGTCGCTGTACGCAAATATTTAAAGTGTTTATATATAAATACGTCACTGTTCTTTTATACATAAAATCACCTAACATTTTTTTGATAATATAAAAAAAAATTGTCTATCCATAAAAAATATGTTGCACTATTAAATTGATTTTTCAAAATTGCATGATTAATGTCAATAAATTAAGCGCTATACGGTTCTACTGTTTTAATAACATTCACATAAGCAGTACAACACAATTCTACAATTGATAAATGATTATTTATAATAATGTGAAGTAGTATATGCCTTAAACTATTATACTATATTATCAGTTTATAATTTATATAAATTACTTCATACGTTTATAAACCTACGTAATGTGTTATACTTAAAAACATTTTTGAAAGAATGTATATATTTTTCGTTATAAATAATAATTATGAATTTATGTCATAACCATTCACGTATACAACTTACTGTTCCAACATTTTGAGTATATATTAGAGTAGGTGGCAAAAATGTTGGTCTTGTATAGTTGAGATGTTGTAGTCTTTCATCAATAATCAATTTTATTGATTTAAGTGTAATACAATTATCAATATCTTTTCTATTCAAAAATATCTAATTTGGTGAGTTAAGCATAAAAATAATTATTAATTTATATTAAAATATTATTTATAGTTAATAAATAATTTAAAACAATTATAAATTTTGTAATACGTAATATTTTAATTGAATGATTTGAATTAATTTTTTTGGTCTTCAAATTTAAATATCTACATTAAGGCAGATTTGATTGAAGAGTTAAATAAAGTGGTTCTTGTGTTAGAAGACTACTTCTTAAAATTTAAGATGAATTTTTTATGAGATCGAAGGTAAAATAATTGACAATTTTATGATAAAAAATTATTTTGATGACTTTTTTGTCCATCGCTTAATAAAAAAATAAGTAATTCTTCTAATTTATGTATAGGACCTATTATTTTTTAGCGCCTCCTCATGTTTACTAATGAGCATTGGTATGTGTTAAGTTTTAAGGTTATTAAAAAATCCCTTTTTGATTTTTATAATTTACTTAATTAGAATCAGATTGAAAAATATTTGAATGAATAATTATTGTAGTTTTGGTAGATTATTATAATTATTAGCCGTTTTTTTTATGTTTTTCTGTGGTAACCAAACTATATTAAGTATACATAATTTAATAACAAATTATTGGAGGGAAAATATTGTTAATTTTTATTTTATATGGTGTGTCTTAGTTTATGCATTGTTTTTTATTTTTACAAATAGATGATAATAAAGCAATGATAGTGGTTTCTGAATACATAGTACCTAATGCTGCTATAAAATTGATTGCATATTGCTTGCTGGTGAATATTATTATACTTACAGTTGGATCGATTTTGTTTGTTATAATGTTTGGTTATAAAAGTAAGTAGAGCGTTTTATTCATTACCAAAACGCCATTAAAATCCTTATTTAATAACAAATACGGAGCATAGTTCGTCAGACACGCTTATCATTCCTTCCCTGAATTCATTATTCCATATAGTGATCTTCGGATGGTTTAGAATGACTGTTCAATACAGTCTTTTTTATATATAATTAAAACGCGGGTTGGCGTTGGGTGAACATTGCCGTCCCCCCGTGACACAAGAGCTTCCTCGTCTACCAGGTGTGGGTCCCTTAGGCCCAGACCACATTCCTTTCGCTTGTTCCATATTCCTGCTCTTCCGGGTCTAGGCTATTTAATGATGAGTAGTCTCGGCCTACCTCCCTTTTCCACTGGCTTTCCACGGGGTAGAAGCCGCCTCATCCAAGGCGACCCGAGTAACTATGAGGTACTCGGGCCGTTGGGATGTCTTTCTGAAAATAGTCTTTTTTTATATATACGTAATTCATATGAAGGATTGTTTCGACGGAAATTCATTCACTAGTAATTAATTTCAATCGGAACAAGTCTTGTTTTAGCGAGGGAACATATAAAACTTTTCAGTATACACTAAACGTAATTTTTGATCGAGGGTTTTGCTTTAATACGGTAAAATTAAGATGATAATTTTCTCTAAGATTGTGAGAGCCTTGTATTGATACTTTCCGAGCGATCATTAGAGTAATTTGTTTGGGGGCTGTGAGGGATTTTTAATGTCCCTTAAGTGTTCGTTAAACCTCGTTTCTATGTTTCTATTTGTTTGCCTTATGTAACATTTATCACAACTTTTATATTGTATTTTATAAATATACGATTTTCCCATTTTTTCTACTTTATCTTTAGGGCTACTTAATACATTTTTTTAATACAATTATTACTCTAAGATATTATTAAAGTAATTCCAAAATTCTTAAAATTTCTAGTTAGGCCATTAGAAATTTTTGAATAATATAAAATACTATAAAACTTTTTGTTCCCCATACTAGCGAGTGTACTAGTTGCCCTTCTTTTTTTACTCCGCTTTTGGGTTGGTATTTCATTATACCCATTAAATTTAGGTATTTCTTTTTGACCCCCACAGTGTATATAGCGTATAATGTGTTGCCAAATTGTAAGTCATGACATTATTACTCAATACAATAGGTGCCATAATATTTCTCGGCTTATGTATTTTAGGCAAAGGATATAGTTTAGGTATTCGGAAGTTTGAAAATTTAATGAAAACCCAAAATTTTTTTCTTCAAATATTAATTTTGAACTATTGATAACGTTTTTAGCCTTTCTTAGAATTTGATATAATGGATTCTTTTTAACTTCTTTATAGATTTTCTGTTGATTCAATATTGAAACTTAATTGAAATATTCTTCTTTATTCAGCATAATTGTGGAATTACCCATGTCTATTATCAGCATTATTAGCAGAACTTTTCATGAGTAGGTTTAAACAAGATTAAAACACTTATTTCGGTTTTTGTAGTAATAATCAAAGATTTTAATAAGGAGGTCTTCATTAATATTTAAACTGTTTTTACCTATCAATTAAATTCACATTCGAAATAGAGGAAAATTGACTTTTTTTAATTTATTATATAAATGAGTAGGAGAACTAAATTTTGAAATTTGTTGGAAAAACACACACATTTTGGTATATTCAAAATAATTTGAACCATAGCTAGCAATACAAAATAATAGCTTTTAATAGCAGGGTGTACAGATTAGTTAATATTTTACTTTGTTTTTTTCCCTATGTTCCATTCTCAGTTAGGAATATTTTGAGATAAGTAAGAAAAGTAATTTTATTGTCTTTCAGTTTTTTTATATTTTTTGAGTCTAAATGGAAGGGGGTGAAATTTTTTTTAAATTATTCAAAGTTTATCTAAAGAGTTGTCATACAAAACAAATTTTGATAAAAAATCTATGCATTTCTGACTTTGCTACGTAACTTAGAAATATATAGGTAAAATATGTATATATATATATATATATATATAAAATTTATTTTTAAAATTATGTCATTAATAATAAGAGCTTACAATTTATACTATAAAATACTGTGAAAAAAAAAATGTGAATTATAATTATTGTACAAGACATTGACAAAATATAAAGAAGTATTATAAGTATTAGGTTGGTATTATTTGAAAAAAATTGTTGGGGTCCTCCTCTAATTTTGACCTATTAGTCCTATTAAGCTCAGTTTATATTTCTAATATTCTTGTCACTTTGAGACTATATTTATATATTTGTGGATGTTAAAAATGTTCGTCCGTTTTAATTAATACTTGAAAATTAATTTGGGTGTAGTGTCGCACAGTGTATCATTCAATTGCTGTCTTAGCGCTGATATACAGTTGTTCTGTTTGCTGCTGGTTCCTGGATGGGTGACTCCAAATAGTTGGGATAAGAGAAGATAATGATGATGATGACGTGTAAACTAATTATTTTTTTTGTTGATAAAAGATCCTTCAAAACAAAATCATACATTGGCTACTAATTCAGGTATGGTGATAGAAAAGATTCGCTTGGATGGCAATAAGCTAACGAAATTTGTATTGACAGGAATTTTTTTAGAAAAAGGTGATTTTTTATAATTTTTTTAAACATGTTTGTTTTATTTACAAGTGTATTAGCTTTATTTTTTAAGATAACATATATAATCATATAACTAGCTTATATAATAGATAATGATTAATTAAGAAAATGACTGGTTGATAACAATTTATGGACCAGTATTTCGGAAGTTGGTTGACATTTTTTATACCTTAACGTAGGGAAGAAATTAATAATGATAAAAATAATAACACGCGTTCTCATCTTATGCCATAGTTTAACAACCAGTAATTTTCTTAATTGGAGCATTATCTGTTAAATAAGCTAGTTGATCGTGTTGCTGTTTGAAAAAATAAAGTTAGTATACTTATAAGGAACGAACTTTATGATTGATAAATTAAAAAAAAATTGTTTAATGTTATTTTCATTTTTTTATTAACCACTTAATTAATGAAATGAACTCTGTGTATTTTTATTGTGTTTGCGAATATACACCAAAATGAATAAAATTGAGAGGTAAGTCGACGATGAATAACGACTTTAACGATATATTTTTTCCTTTTTACAATATCTATTATAGTTTTTGTATATAGACGTGCACCAAAGAAGTGTAACGGGAGGAAGGATAAACCCTTTCTACGATTAAAAGTAATTACGCGTTTAGGATAAATTTTTATTTTGATTTGACTGGGTAATAAAAAATTTTCATATAAAAATCCTATGAGAAATCTTCATCCCCTTGAGCATGTATGTTATGTATTTCACGATGTTACTTTCTTATTACGTAATTAACATAAATATTGAATGGTTTTTAAGTTTATATATGTCATCTTTAAAAAAATGTGTAGTCTATGAAATTTATGATCTAATTTCTTTTAAAGATTTTCCGTTAAATTCAACTGTTATGAAATCAATTAACCAGACTGACATAATTCGACACTGGAAACACGAGTATGTCGAGGAGAACAGTAATTCGAGGTTTTATTTTAATCGCAGCGAAATTTTGCGGTGGAAGAAACCATTTTGCTATTTATGTTTATACACAACATTTTGTATGATTACTATGTGTTTATTTGGATTATTATTACATCGCTTTGTAAACAAGGAAAAATGTTTGAATCAAAATTATGATGATGTTCAATCGTTGATTCCAAAATTTAACGATCGTAATGCTAAAAATTGTTTTGAAACTCGTTAATTACCTTAATTACATTAAAAAAAAAATGTCCTATTTTTCACATAAATTGAAAGGAAAAATATTGATAAATTACTTAAAAATCCATTATGAAATTAAAAAAACGGATATGTAGATTCTCTATTTTTTTTACTTCAAACTCCAAAAAGAAAACTAATTCATGTTTTTAATGCTTAGTGGCGAATTTTCAACATTTTGAGAGGGAAGAAGTTCTAAAGATTAAAAATATTTTGGAGTTCTGTATATTAAATAATATAAAAATATCGATGTGGAGAGGGCTACCAGAGGGTTTGGAATTTCCCCTAGTAAATCCGCTTCTGCGAACACTATAAAAAATTATCCAATAACTCCCATACGTTAGTATGTGATTTTTAATATAAATGTTTCTTTAACACATACCTTTGATAGTTTTAGATTTAAGGTTAACACTTAAATAGTTGATATAGGTTTTTTACTAATTTTTTAGTTGATATTTAGTTTATATTCATATAAAGTTGTTAACTAAAGAAAATAATTCATTAATAATAAAAATTTTTGTTAAAGTCAATTAAAATAAATTTAAATATTTAAAAAATGTTTAATGTGTTTGAATTACTTAAGTTAATAACATTTTAGGTTTTAAATTGATAGGAATATCCAAGTGTACATTATTAATTTATTATTTGTATATTTTGTAATTTTTTAAGACTACTCTTAAAAGTTTTAATAAATAATTGTTTTTTATAATATAGAAAATTTTTACCATAATTTTTTTAAAGATCAGTTCATTAATTTTCTTTTAAAAAAAAAGTGAAATAATTTCTTTATAAATTTGGAAGCTTGATGAATGGTCTTAAAGTAAAAAACAGATAATTATAATTCGATATTATTTGATTAATGAACGTTTCAAGTGAATTTTGTTTTATATTTTTGATGACAGACATATTCAAATGTATACTTTTATTTTTTTACGATATAATCAGTGAATGAATTTATTTTTATTTATTTTGTAATTCATTTGTATAGTTGGTCAAAGATTGCACGACCTACATTATTTTCTTTTATTATGATCAAAATTAATTCATTTCTCGTAACTACATGATTTTTTTTGTTATATTAATAAAGTAACTTTTTGAGGCTTTAAAAATATAATATATGTGTCGCAGTTAAATGTATTGTTCATTTAATTCATAAGTTTCATCATATAAACTCTTGCATAATTCATTTATTCTTTTCCAAAATTTTATTTTTTGTATCCATAATATATTAATTATAATTCCAATTATATTTTCTTTATATCTTATATTCTACCGATAGTAATGATAGAGTGGCTTTCTCTTTTTTAGATCAATACGATATAATAATACTAAATATCTCTGTTTTCTTTAATAGCAACCCCAGTTATAGTTTTATAATACAATAATAGATGCTAATGTCATAATTATTTTGGTTAATAACGCAATTTTCAGATTTATTATTTTTATACATTATGTAAGTATGTAAATAAGTCAAATGTGCGTGGCGAAATCTTTTAGCTAGTCAGAATTTCGTATGGAAAACAAACTGTGTATTGTTTGCAGTTTGCGAAATGAATTCACTAAGGCTACATCTGTAAACAACATGCGAGAAATAATTACCAAGTTTGCACAAATAAAAAACAAAGACTTATTAAACGGTCTATGAGTATGACAAAAAAAAAAACTTGGCATGTTAACGGAGCCGCAGGGTTTATATGCGCATACGAAAGAAGAGAGAAGAAGTGTGTACGTGAGGCTGAAGAAAATTATAAAATAATAATATACTATTGCTCAACTATGGAAGAAGTCAATCGTTGTGAAAGTTGATGTAGTAATATTATAGCACGATAATGCAGAAGTCGTTTCAGTCAATTGCCTCTGGTTCAAAAGTTCAGCTGGTCATGCTTATATGCGTATCATTTCTATTTGTAATCAGCTTTTATATCCTATGGCAGATATATCACCGAATAAAACTGAAATAATACCGGTTTATAGTATTGGGTATACAAATATTTTAGCTAAAATTAAAAATTGCACAATAGTTCTTGTGTCCTAATGAGGAGTCACGCCACTGACTCCACACTGATACATCGTATCCGTTTTCTCCTTTTACGATTAAAAAAAATGTTAACGAATCATTAGTTGTTTCTTGATAACAATGTAGTATTACCTTACGATGACTAGATGGATTTTCGTATTTATTGCCATTTGGTGGTTTATGGTTTTTTATGTTGATAAGTTTTTCCAGAACTTAGTTGTAGTTAGAAAGTTATTTCTTGAACATCTTAAGTGTTATTATACCATATAATAATAAATAAATATAACATTTACGACTGAAATTCAGTAATATAAATAACTTATGAATATTGATAATTTTTTCATTTATTTTAGATGTTATTATTGAGAGACTAAAATTAAAAAATAATATTTACAATTAAAATCAGTGTCTTTAATGCGACATTTTTTCTTTGGGTATTATTTCGGAAGTTTATGAATTTTATTATTTCAAGTTTTTTCAACATTGGCATTGGATTTCTCTCTCGAATTTCGGTTTTGGCGTTAATTTAGGTATTACTACTATAGCGAGTTACTGATTAAAAGCCCTGATAAAAATAGTGGTAAAAACTTGTACGGGAAGATAAAACTGTATACTGAACAGGTCTTATTTTTTGCATATTTCAAAGTTATAAAAAATACATTATTAAATTTAAGTAATTTTTAAAATTTATGACCAAATTTACTTTTGACAAATAAATTCGGAAAATAATACATTTGATATTAAAGAAAACTATGTAAAACAGTAAAATTGAATAAGCTCATTATATTTTGGAATTGATGGAAAGGCGGTATTTAAAAATTTAATCGCTTGGTTAATATATAAATTTTTTACTAAAAATCATGTCAAATAGACAAATGTACTTAGGCAATGGTGTAGACAGAGAAGCTGACTGGGCAATGCATTTCATTAGCCGTTTTATACATAATAATTACTATAACTTTGACTCTAAAAGGCGTTATATTTATAATATTTTAAGTTTTATCAAATAATTTATAAAGTTAATTGTATTTCAGTTTTGATGTAAAACTGAGAAGGTATTAATTTTACTATAATATTGATTACAAATTGGTTTTTTTATTTATGTCTGTTGTCTTTTTTTTTTCAACTCTTAGAAGACCGATTTTTCTAAACGATACATAAAAAGATTAAAAATCGTATCTAGTTGAAGACATTACCCTCAAAAATTCCCTTGTTCTCTATGGTGGGAATTCCTCGAAAATTACGATTTTTCAATTTTGTAAATTTTTTTATATAAACTGTCTTAACTTTTTTTTAAAAATTATTGAATCGAAACAATTTTTTTTAAATAACTTAGTTATTTCCTTTTATAATAGGTAATGTTTGCTTTAAATCTGACCCTTAACCTGCTCACTTGGGGATTCAAAATCGCTACTTTGCATAAAATGTTCTATGAGCTTCAAACATATGTTAAATTAAAGCTTATGTTACAAACAATAAGTTTAAAATAGAATTTGTCTTAATACCTCATCTTCTACGTGTAAACTGCCGCCAGAATTAAACAATTTTAGTAAAACAAATTTTGATGTAAAAAATAACCGTTTTTAATGATGTTATAATTTTCTACTTAAATTTTTTTTTAAATTATTTTTGTATATACGGTATAGTCATATAAGAGAGGAGGGTTTTAAAACTTAGCTTTAAAATGTCATTTTGTAACTTTTAAAGTCAATGCCAAAAATGTGAAACAAAAAAAGTTCTAATTACTAATGGTTTATGATAAACTACAATTTCAATTTCATAATTTTAATAATACTTAATTAATAAAGGTCAAAATAATCGAATTAAGAAAGTCAATTTTTTTACTTTTTATTTGATAAATTTATACATACAATCTTGATACACATTTATAATAGAGTTAACGAAATAAACATTTACATTATATTTTTCATAATTTTTATATGAAAATTATAATACAAAATAAAGAATATGATTTTATGCTAAATTTAATTTGTATAATATATTTTTAATCATGTGTTATACTGATAAATATTAAAACTAGTAATTGAAGTTGATAATGCTTTTGAAATAATATAATAATTCCTTCAAAAATTAAACACTATCTATAGATTTGCATGAATTTTTTTTATGATAGTGATTTTAATCACTGTCAGATATCACCTAAGCTTGTCTCATCTAAGCTACGTCTCAATTGTGCTGGTTTTTTTTTTTGACTTACTAATTTTATATATTTTTTTAATTAGAACACTTTACAAAAGTTTTACAAATCAATTTTTATTATTACTAATATGTGTTAAATCTACAATTATAACTCAAAATATTTGGAACCTATTTTTTGTTATAACTACTATAGTTGCAGGTATAAATTATTGATATTTGCAACTATTAAAAACCTGTCTAGTATATATAGTATTTATTTATTTTGATTCTCAAATAGTTAATTTTCGTTAAAATTAACATTTAAAAAATGCAAATTTTTTCAAGATAAACCAAGATTATTTTTATGTATAGTCTGTTTTTGAATAGCCTATTTTAGACTATTAATAAAGTTTTATTGAACTTCATTTATATCATAATCACCAATAAATAATAAATATAGTATTCATATTTTGCGAAATAATTTATTGAAATAACCCTTTAGAATAATTAAAATCGCTTCATATAATTAAGTATATTTTCTTCATAACATTAATTAAGATATAAATTTGACTAATATTTCTGTGACGTTTTTTTAATTAGCACTAAATAAATCAAATTAATATTTATTTAAAATAATTCATTTTTTTTTTAAATGGTATTTTAAATATTTTAAAATAAAAATAAAAATTCATTATGTAAATAAAGTATGTTGAAGTATTGTGAACGTGTAAATAAAATAATATAATAAATTTGTTTTTCAAAAAAAATTAGAAAGAAATGACACTATGAGTATTCTCACTATACATTAATATAATATTCAATAATATTGAATTGGGGTTGGTGAGGGGAGGACAAACGCCCTGTGGCCTACGGGTTTAAGGGGTCCATTTCAAATTTTACTAGCCTAGTTTTGATTTGTTTTATGGTAGCGTTAATTTCCATAGAGCAGACATCAATTTCAAATAAATTTAGTATTTTTTCTAATTAAGTATTTTTTTTTGTTTTTACAATTTATTTCTGTTATATTCCTCAAGTAAATGTGTTAATATACATTTTATTTAAAAAAGCATTATAAGGTGAGGTGGGGTAAATATGCACGCTTTTTTTTTTACTTAATTGGTCATAAAATGAAATGTGTATTATGTCTTTGTTAAATAACTATCATATATAACATAAATAATAAACATATATAACTACAAAAACACTTGCATCTATACCAAAAAGTTCTAATAAATTCGTCTTTCTAGTGCTTATTAGAGTAAAAAAAAAATAAGGATCACTTTTGCCCTAATAAAGGAGCAAGTGAGATTTTGCAAATTAAACAATGTTATTAAATTTGTTTGACAAATATAATTTATTTGACAAAAATATAAAATAAATTAGATGATTAATTTAAAGTTGCGAATTTGTTTTAACATTAATGTCATTTATTTTAAATTTATTTTAATTTTACTTAATTAACTAGCCACAAGTGATCAATTTTTATTATATCATTTATTTAAGTTCAATTGATTTATTGAAATTTTTATCGGCTAGGTCATTAGACCAAAATAAACTTAAAAAAATATTTGACCATTTCTAAATTAAAAAATGAATACTACTCAACAAAGCCAAAAATATTTATTATTATTATTTTAATTTCAGGAGAATGTATTTTATGAAAATGGTTTATGATAAATCAATTCCACTTTATAATAAGTGTCAGAAAAAATATAAATATTTTTTGAGGGTATGAAATATAATGCCACTTAATATGTGATTTTAAAAACAATTATTGATTGAAAAATCATTTTTAGCTAAGGTGAGATGGGTTAAGGTATTTGATACCGTTTGGTACATAGTCAAATACTGATTTGAATAAAAAAACAATTTGATAAGGGATGAACTTATAAATAATTTAACCATTTATAATTAAAAAAATAGATACTGATCATCAAAACCAAGACAAAAATTATTAACCTTATTATTTTAGGAGAAATTTAGTGATTACATATAAATCAATCACTCTGTATTATTGATAATAAAATTCTTTTGTTGAGTTGTTGAGAAAAAACGTGCGAAGTAAGTTTTTAGTATCTTGTTTTAGATTTAAATCATTTGAGTAAGTAACTTTTATTTTTCTGTCATTACAAATATGCATTATAGAAGGAATATGTTGAATGTGAAAATCATTTGATTGATGGGGCTGTTTTGTGCGTGACCTATGAAGTGGTCTCTTTATAAATAATAAAAATCTTGCATTAACAATGAACAAATAATATATATAATATGAATGAGGTATGACATCAACACAAGCAATATTGTCATGGTATTCTTTGGTTTTATTTGGAAAGTTGATTTTAGTTCTTAATTTTTTTTATGGGTAACACATGTTGATCTGTAAATGAATATGATTATAAATGCGTTTTTAAATGGTTTTTAATTAATCTTAAAAATTATCTATAAAGTTCAGTTTAAATTACTGTTATTTAATTTAAAGCGTTTACTATTCTATGGGTTTAAAACACTTTATTCATTAATGTAATGAATATACATGATATTAGTGTTTGTATGGTATTATTTTAATAATTCTCATACAAATGATTACTAAAATATAAATATATTTTGATTAATAGTAAATAATTTTATTAAAACACATATTTTAAGTCTATTTGAATATTTTTTACGAACATAGTTGGTGACTATATAGACTACCCACCGTGATTTATTCATTTTAATATTAGTTATATAGTCAAATTAGTAAATAACGGTGGAATATTCTGTATAACAATCACTATCAGAGAAGGAACATTAGGATATTAAATAGTAGAATCTCGAACAAAGATGGTAGTTAATTTCATTGCGAACACCATTAAAGATACGACTGTATATAAGATTGTAGTTGGTAAAAATAAGTACTATTAGTACCACTGGAAAATATAATCGAGATTTGGGATAATAGTGAGAATAAAAAACGATTCATTTACCATGTATGATGGAATAACACTGAATGCTGGATATTATTAATTGCTAATATTCAGCGAAACAAAAGTTTAATTAACAAATAGTGATTATTAATGTAAAAAAACGATAACTGATACTTAAAACGCTGGTGTATTTATTATAATTACAAGTTAATTAACAAGTTAAATAGAATTTGTAACTTACGATTTTTTTAATATTAATGTGTTTTATGAAACTATGTTTTTATATTATTTACCGCTTTATTTTTATGCGTATACGACATTTTGACAGAAAATATTATTTCACTTTTAAAAAATTGTACAAAACAATAGTTTCACAATATTCGGAATTAAGTGTCGCACAATAGAAGGTCTAATGGACATTCTTACAACTGCATGGACTTTGTTAAAAAAAATTTAGCGTGACGTTATAAAGTTTGATATTCAACAGAAACAAAATTGTCATGGTGTTATCTGTTAGATTTGACTTTTGAAAATTTTGCGAAATCGTTTATATATGTATTGATAATAGAAATTATTTATCATATTCGCTCGAAATCTCGTGGGTACTAAAATTATGATTTCTGACTAGAAGGTAAAACATTGTTTGACAACTTTTTTTTTAGCTTACCATTTTGGAATAATTGTAAAAAAGCTCGGATCACTATTTCATTATTTAGAGTTTCTAAGAACCTCATTGCACTCTCATATGTGCTCCTATGTTACTCACGGACCATGTTCAATTTACACAGTATACTTAGTAAATTGCATATCAAAATTAAGATTCATATTATTAAAGGATAAAATTAATAATATATGGACAAAATTCGTGATACATAAACAAAAAAAAAAATTCTAATTTGTATAAAACAATCACTTCATTTAACATAGGCATAACTTAAAAAAAAGTCATGTTATTTTTAAATACTTCGCTTATACTTAACTGTTTGATACAATTAGTTCATTATTGGACTAAATTATCATTGATACAATAATAATAATAATATACCATTTCAGCCATATTTTGTGTGAATTAAATGCAAAACATCGATCAATTGTTTTGTTAATATTTACTAGTGTATTGTATATACATATTGAGATGTTATATTGGCACGAATATGTAAAAAGGTTCATTAGTTATTTTCTGCAATGTGTATATATGAGGCGTGGGTATTGTTACTACTTTAAGTAACGGGTTTTTATTGCATAAAATGTTGAACGATCGCACTGGAATAATTTCATCGCGAGGTGCCATTATTATATTGATGTAAAGCAGTTAAATATTGTACGTAAAATAAAACAAAAATTGGAGGAATTTCTTTTTAGAATATTATTCATAATAGATAAATTTATTTTGTTTTAACAAAACATGACATTGCGACAGAGAGTTATAATTGTGAACAAGATTAAAAATGACGTTAATAATAAATAAATAAAAAGTATTCGTTTTTAATTTTTTTTTTTTAGACAAAAAATCTTCCACGAGTTGTGTGAAAACTGACAAAGCTTGAAATAAATATCAGTTTAATGTAAATATTGAACATTGTACCGATCAAAATAACATGTTATTTAAATTCATAAGTTTAGTAGTGACGATGTAATTTAACGATAGAAGCTCACAATATTGAGTAATATTTTTCCAGCACATTCGATTTTTCAATTTATGAGTTTGCTGATTTTCAAGAGAGATTTTAAAATTCGACAGTCTTTCGAAGGAACATCGCATGTATGTGGGAGACCTCTTTCGATTACAAAATCGACATGACAGGCTCTCAATCATTTTCGCTGCGTGTCGTATCGTGTGTGTGTATCAAGTAATAATTAAATAGTACACACGAATTAACGCTTTGCGGCAACCACGGATGTTTATTAACAGGAAGAGGATCTTGTAGGTAAAGTAGGCTAACGGTGGTGGAGGATAAGCGACAGGTGGAGCATCGCGGCGGGAAAGTAGGGCAGCAGCTATGAACTCCCCAGGAATGTTGGGCTACGGTTCAGTCGTCTTCCTCAATCGCTCCGCGGCAAGACTCAGATCGTGTATGCGTTAGTTTAAATCTCGTCGCTTCTCGGTCAGGACTCAGTCTGTATAAGCTCTTGGTAAGACAACGAAATTTCTTTATATTATTTAGTACGATTGATTGAATTAAAATCCATTAGTATCGAATAACATTTTTCCCCAAACTTTAATTAATTTTTATTGATTTTAAACATAAATTTACGTTAGTTAAAAAATTGTTTGTGTAACTAAAAGGTTTATAAGTAAATATTTTTTTCTTACAATATGCAATTTTTTAAATGCACTCTTCCTAAACTTTTATTGGTGGTTTAATGTACTTACATGATTTATAATTTCATAATTTATTTTGCGATTTTAAAGCTAATCAATGTGCAGTTTTCAGGTATCATTATAGTTTGTAATTATTTATTTATTTTTCAATGTTGCATGATCTATAATTGAATACCGCATTATTATGATAAAAATATTTCCCCGCTTGTAAAAATAAAAAAATATGTTTGAAATTTTAATGCACACACAAGTTAATTTTGATAAACTTGAAAGTTCTAGTGTATGCCGCGAACTGTATTGTTATTCATAAATGATAATATATGTATCAATTTTTTATCGGTAACACTTCTAAAAAAACGTCTGTGTTTGGCTTTCTCTTAATGCGTTTAGAAAGTATCTACTCCTTCAATAAAAAAATAATGAAATACAATTGGCGATTATCATTACTAAGATAACTCTACAAATGTTTTCATTATTATTCTTACAATTAAAGCCATCGAAATGAGATTTTTTTATCTAGAATCTACGATGTCTATTCTCGTCTGATCACGAGTGTTTAATAGCAGTCGGAAAACGGAAACTAATGGTACAAAAAAGGCATTGGGAGAATGTAACAGATAAGAACCGCGATGTTATTGAATTAACATTGGGTTATTAGAGTTTCACTACATCTTAGTAAATTTTCATTCACAGTTATTATAATAAAACGTTAACATTATTTCACGTCTATTGTGTAATAAATGTTTTTCTTTTTTTTTTTAGTAATACCGTTTACAGTGTAAATTTACACTTATATTTTGGATAAACATAACGGGATTTTCTTATTTTATTATTAATTGGTTAAACATTAATATAGAATTTTTTTTTATGGTGACTGCGTCTATAGCAAACAAATAATTGAGAAAATTATTTAATTATTAAATAATTCACTAATTGTGATGTCTAATTTAAACAATATTTTAAAATAATTTAAAACTGCGTGCATTAATTGTACCCATAAATCTCCAAAACTAATCAATATAGCGTCTATTACATTTTAATTTATCTATAGTTGATAATTAAAGGTTTAAAATTCTGTAACACATGATGGAATACTGAATATATACATTGTCCTTAAGTTTTGTTCATTTCCATTACAATAAAAATAAATTGCTAAGTTGATGTATTTTGTAAAAACATTCCCGGATGGCCATAATACATTAATAACAGTAAGTACGTGCTCGACTATTGTCGTATAAGAATATTAACTTTCTATTAGTGACCAACTGAAAATATAAATATCCAAACAAATTTATATTACCTATCAGTGACAACACTATGACATTATGAATAACCTTCGAAAATAAATAATTGCCCAAATTAATGGCTAATATAGTACGATGATCTCCCCGGATTAATGGTCTTCCAATTTTTGTATGTTAAACTAATGGAATTTAGTCAATATAGGTAACAACCAACACAATACTGTCGAAAACAAATATACAAGTATACCCATTATTTAGTACTTAATGTGATATTTAATTCATCCATAAATAATAAATAGATTTCATTTTCATTCATGTACTGATTTAAAATATTTGAAATGCAGATTTGTGTTGAAATTTTGGTGTAAAATACCAATTTATAAAGGTAAAAATTAATTTTGTACTTGTTGTTGAGGCTGGACAGACTTGATTTTAGAATATAGTTTCTTGAATTTCTCATTAAACTGTAATTATATTATGACATAATAATACTTTACGTATTAAATTTATAGTCACGATACTAAACTTAAGATGTATAGAATCGCAAAAAACATGATAGTTGCCATATTCTATTATTTTTTAATACAGCTTTTCTTGGTTAAGGAAATTTTAGAGAGTAGAATAAAATTATCACGCAATCATAAATTTCACATAACAAAGTTTATATTTTGTATTCTTAGATTCATTTTTTAGTTTATTTTCTTACTTGTGTAACAATAATAATTATACCGAAGGAACTTAAGTTGCTGACTGGTAATACTTCAGAAAAATTAATCAAATAATAGTACGATGCAATTTAAAATTAGCAATTCTAAATTAAAAATATATGTTAAATTGCAACATATGGGCTTATAAAAATATGGGTTTGCCAACATTATTTGCGTCAAAATTTTAACAATTTGTTATTTGTTGTGTTAACTAAATAGTCGGAGACTTCAGTTACCTGTTGACTTTTTACAATTATTAAATTAATCTAAATTACACGGATAATTGTTATGTTTTATAACTTTACTAATGTACAAAACAATCATTTATACAATATACATGTTTCTGTTATAAGATTTTGGTTTTCAAAATTTCGTTGCTAATAATTTTTTTTTATCTTTTGATATTCATTTTATATTTTAAGTATAATTGTAATCGAGCAAGACATTATATATTTACGTTTAAAAAATTGTTTTAAACATTTATTTACAGTTTATTAGTTTCTTGGAGTAAAATAAGTCGTTATAACCAAATGAATTCTAAGTTTTAAACACGTAAACAAATTAAGTGTGATGAATGATTTAATATTAAAAAAGGTGAAAGCGGTAAATAATGTTTGATAGATTAGATTAGATGGAAATAATTCTAAATTAATTGTAGAAAAACAGTATTTTTAGAATAATTACCAAGTATGTTTTTGAAAAATGAACCAGAAATTTAGATGATATAAGATACCAAGTAATGTAGGATAAGAAAGATTTAATGGACGTATAGAGATTTTAAAAATTGATATTACTTATTGTCTATGTAATTATATATATTTCTACAGTTATTAAAATTATCGCAATCATCGGTCAAAAGGTTATGCTCGAAGCAATTTCTCTTTTAGCATTTTAATATACAAGGGAATTTCAACTTATTATATAAACAAAATTGCTTTGTTTAACATTTATAAAACGTTTAAATGAATTATTATAAATATCAATAAAAATATATTTAATGTATTTTTTGGAGTGATTATCGAAAATTAAATTAAACATAATTTTTTTTGAGTTAGTGTCTACGGTATTGCACAGTAGACTAATAAGTTGTTGATAAGTGTAATTTCAAAATTTTGTCTACTAACTTACCAAGTGTGAATGCTACTTCGATGTGTTCATTGTAAGCCTTTTTAAATTATGTGGCGATTTAAATGCTGGTAATCAATGTGTTGGCAGTATGAAATAAAAAATAACAAGTGAAAAAAAAATACTCTTTGTTTACAAATATATTTTAATTAAATTTAAAAAATTCATTAATTACTACATTTAGTTCTATTGTTAATTACTAATTTATATCATTTTGTCGTCATTTACCAAAAGCTAATATGCCAATTTTAGCAGTTTTTCTAGAGAGAAAAAATAAATTTAAAATATCAATGGTGTTAATAATTTTGAAATACGAAAAACAGACCTTCCCGATAAAATTTAATCAATATTTTTGTTAAACGAAAGAAAACATTCTACTTTATACACTCAATTAAAAATTTTTAAAAGCACATTTTTGTGACTTATCAGTTTTTGGATATAAACCACAGATGTTTTCTTATAATAAGTTTTTCTTATTTTATTTTCTTCAGGCAAACATGCTCCGTACAATTTGTTTGTTCCTCTTTGGGTTGTCAGTTGTAGCTGCACAAAGAAGATTAGCATTACCAGATCCACGCAGTTGTTCAAGCAGTAAGCAATATAGAAAATAACAAATATTAATGAAAGCTCAAATAAAAAAGAAAGATTATGAAATGACGGTTTAACACTTTTTTCAACATAATTTAAATTTGTTTATTATAATAATTACTTGTTAAAAAATTTAAAATCAATAAAATATATACTTAAAAACAATTTTAATCAGTTTTAAATCGGTCATTGTCCACTCAAATTATGGTATTGGATATCAATATTTTTTTAGTCATTATACATTTTTTATTCACTTCCAAATACAAAAAAAAAAATTACTTTAACTATTTTAAACCTTCAGAACACTTTTGTGTACCTATTTTCATTTTTTTTAATTTACGATCCTAATTTAAAGTAAGAATAGTGTTTATAGATGCTAAATGATGTAAACATAATAACTATAGTATCATTTTTTCTAAAGTTCAAAGTTTTAATATACATTTCTCTGAAAATCTTTTTTTAACCTATTCTAGGGTCACTTATTATTAAAAGAAAGGTCATTTTAACTGAAAATGAAAAGTCCGGTCTGAAAGACTTAAATAATATTTTTATAAATTCAAAATTTTGTATATATATTTTACTCAGATTAACGTTATGCTTAAAATCATGTTAACTCAAAGGATAGATTTTAAATTAATATTAATTTTGAATTATAAATTGAGTTTTTTTATTTCAGGAATCAAGCATGCTACCTACCGTGATGCCAGGGGAGTTTCACATTCATACTTTTTCAGTTGGGAGCACGCGCCAACCAAAAGTTTGGAAGTTGACTGGTTAGATGCTAGAAACATTTGTCGCAGACATTGTATGGACGCAGTAAGTTTGGAAACCCCACAAGAAAACGAATTTGTTAAACAGAGAATAGGAAGAGGTGAGTGCATAATTTTATATTAAAAACTAAGAGTAAAAATTATAGAGTTAACTTAAAAAATACATTTAAAAGAAATGTTCGTTGTGAATTTATCAAATTAAATAGAGACATCTGAATATTATAATCAACAGTATTTTTTGGGAGTTTAAGCTAAAAAGTTTCAACATAGTCAAGTTCACGAAAATGCTGATTAAACTAAATGATTGAATAATTAATTAATATTTATCCTAATATTATTAATTATATTAGGAAACGTGAAATATATTTGGACATCTGGCAGAAAATGTAATTTTAATGGATGTGATAGACCAGATTTGATACCAGCTAACGTTAATGGATGGTTCTGGTCTGGATCTGGTGCTAAAATTGGACCAACCACCCAACGTAATTCAGGTGACTGGAGTAGTACTGGAGGATTCGGACAAGCTCAACCTGACAACAGAGAAGCTCCTCAAGTGAGTTAATTACATTGTTATATTAATATTAATTCGTCAAAATAAATTTGAATTTGAATTTGTTTAAGCTATTTGAATCCTTTGTTTAATATAGGGTAACGACGAATCTTGTTTGGCCGTTTTGAACAACTTTTACCAAGATGGAGTTAAATGGCACGATGTCGCTTGTCATCATCTGAAACCATTTGTTTGTGAGGACAGTGATGAACTTTTGAACTTTGTTCGCTCTCGCAACCAAGGAATTCGTCTTTAATAGTAATTAATAATTTGTTTATTAAGTTATCTTTGTTGATTATGTTAGTAAAACTCTCGTTACTTCTTAGTTGAGCGCAAACTAAATAAATCAGTTGTCGAAAGTGAACCCTATATATAATTAACGTACAATTTTGTAAAGTATAAATGATATATTTATAATACATATTTATTATGTTTAAGTTTAGTTAATACAAAAATAAAATGTTTTTTTTATAGAAATTTAAATGTTTTTTTTTATGTTTTCCGATTATCTATAATCCGTTGATAATAACTCAGCCTTCATTATTCAAGCCACATTTGCTTTTTGCATTAACTGATTTCAGTTATTTATTTTAAACATTTATACTTTTATGTATTCAGTCAGCCGTTTACTAACCGCCACGCGTGTGTTGTTCTTCTAACAGTATAATAAATTCTCGTTATCCAAATGTGTGGCACTTCCGAAATATACCGTAGTACCCCCTGAAGCTATTATAATTACTACGGTCATGAAGGCGTTCCTCATCGTTATTTTTCCGGATTGCTCGGGTTTACTGTAAATGGCAAGTGTGCTAAGAACACACCAGTTTGGCATAGAGTCGCGGTGGTTCCGAGCAGTCAAACCAGTTACTGGTGAGCAGACGACCGCGAATCATCAGGAAGAAAGTCCATAGAATCAATGACCTAACCCGATGACGAGTCCACAGAAACGGTGTTACTATAACGTATCAAGATCAATGTCGGACATCGAATGGGCACAAGGTTATATTGTTGATACTTTCTCAACTGATAATAAATCAAATTTACTAATGAATTTTTACCGTCAATTTCCATTAAAAAGATATATTCAGTATAAGAATTAATTGTGACACATTTTTGTAAATATGTTTTGACCAAATCTTCATTTAGGCGAGACAAAATGTCTATAGGATTGTAAACAACGGTAAATTACTGTAGATTAGGAAGTATGAATATTTTGTTTATTCGTTGAAAATTTTTTTTAAAAACGGGTACTGAGATGCTCATATTTACAGATATGAAAACGCTAAAAAATAATTCAATTTCATAAATATCTATGGGACTGACACTAACTTTAAACCACAATTATATAAGTATACTTATAAAATACTATTGTACAGCAGATGAAAATTAATAATAGAGATATCTATTCTTTACAACAATTGATTACTCCATATAATAACTATTAAACAACATTATACATTTTAATGTTTGATATCATTACCCGGTAAAATCTAAGATATTTTAAGCATCTTTTTTTAATGACACGATCAAAAAGAATCGAATCTTGTGACTTCATCACCAAGGAATATTTTAAATATAAAATGAAGGCATTTTACAGTACAATAATATTATTATAGCTAATACAAATAAAAAAATTTTAAGACATGAGATTACAATGCTAACGAAAATTTTTTTTATAAAGGTTTTTTGTTCTCACACATGGCAAATTATTTTATCTCTCTGTACTCTATACTCTCTAGTACTCTGTTTGATTTATTGGCTAAATATAAAGCTATGCATAGCTAATGTACATAATAGTTGTTATTTATTCAAACTTATTGTTGTATTCATTATCTTTAATTTCTTTACAATTGACTTTCAATATTCATTTACTATGTAGTAACATAATTAATAAATTCTCATGAGTATTCGATGGGAATTATATTTATATATTCAGACACTATTTTTAATGGTTATTAATTCATTTGATTTGATTGAAAATCCAACGTATGCAGAACTTGAAAAATTTGACAAAATACACAATAAACGCACTCTAGAAAAATTTGAGCATCCTGGAATCGTCGGTGTAGTAATAAGTAATACTGTGAATTCCACGCTAGAATATTACCACGGTGTATTAAAATGCTCTGATTATCCCTGGAAAAATCAAACATTTCCATTTTGCCAGCATGTTATTGTAGCAGCAAGTTTGTTAGAAATACCTGACTTAGATACAATAAAGGTAGACAATACTTAAAATAAAATTTTAAATCAATTTCAAACTTAAAAATAATTATACACGTCAGTTTGTTCGTTATTCATAAATTAAAATAAAATAGAGTGACTTAAATAAATAAAAGATGAAATTTTATTTTTCTCACAGAAAAATAATGCAGAATATGAATTAGAATAAGAATATCAGTTGAATAATTTTTTAAATTTTTAAAGTTGGAGAGTAAATTAAATACTTTAAAGGTCAAGTACTGGTTAAAATATAGGTTTGCCTTAAAGGTAATCCATTTTCAAAGGCTTGCAATGATGAAAATTTAATTGAAGTTGACTTGGATGCAAAAATTGTACATCCCAGATTTGATCCTACCACGAGAAGTGGAGATATTGCCGTATTAAGATTGCTTGAAGGTTTGAATAACCCCAATGATCCAAAAGAAAAATGGACTTACTTAAAACCAATCGCATTTTCATCTATTCCAGAAAATATTGCAATCGGATTTAGTATGTAAAAGAAAAATAAATAAATAATAAACAAGCAGCGATGTTATATCTAAACATACCTAAAAACTATATTTAATCCATCTATTATTTTGAATCTATATTTGAAAATAAAATTCTTTTTTAAATTTAATCTTTGAAATGGCTATCATAAAAAAACAAAAATAAATTTAAATAATTTTTTTTTTCTATAAAAAAGAAAAAAATATTTAATGTAGTCCAAGTTGTATTTTCACAATGGGATTACCTCGTATATCAATAAAACCATTATGTTATTTTTGTTTTTTTTACCATTTTTGAAAGTAATATTTTGAATTAGATGTAATTCGATTTCTTTTAAATCCTAGTTGAGAAAAATCTGTTCGTAAAAGTCGTTTTTTATTTATTAACTTCTAATTACTAACGCCAAAGATATATACAGCAATTTTCAGCTAAAAATATATTGAAGCTTTGCCTGGCCCCATTACGTGTGCATCATTGGTAGTAGCTGAGTGCAAGAAGTGATAAAAGAACATCATGATAAATTTAATACATTTTCAGCTTAATATCTATTTATTTTAATAAAGTAAAATATATAAATAAGTGTGTAAATGTGAAAAGGACTTTTTTTTCGCAATATTAATATTTCATTAAAGCAAAAAATCCGAGACAGTATTTAAATTTCTTTTAAATCTATAGATTTTTCAAAAAGAATATAGGGATTATAAATTTACATTAAGTTTCAATGTGACGAAAAGTGTTCAATAAGTTTAGAATTACCTAATTTTTATAATAATAGAAAACGGAGATACTTGAACATAATAAAGCTCTGTATTGATCAATCATGATCGAAAATAAAAAAAGGTTATAAAAATAAAAGTAGCATACAAAAATTTTCAAGGCATCTTTTAAATGGTAATATTTTAAATTTTTGATTGGTAATTTATTCCCAGTAATAAATTAATTAACAAATTACAGGCGAGTTTTGTTTTTTTGATAGGATTTTACTAATTTATAATTATTATTATTTAGTATCACTAAAACGTGGTGTTACAAGATGGAAAGAAGCCATGAAGGATAGGAATGAATCTTTTGTTAAGAATTTTATGGACGATAATGTTTATCCATTACTAGATATTTGTAAAAATGTTTCTAATGCTCCAAAATATTTTTTTGGAAGAGGATTCCCACCTAAAAATCATTTTTCTAAAAACCAGACGGCGGATGATAGCTTAAAAAGCCAGTAAATATATTAATACAATTTTTTTTAGATGCCAGTGTTTTCATTGAGTAAGAGTTTTTTGAAAAAAAAAACTAAAAACTGCCATGAAAATTTGAAAAATCAATAAAATTATATATACTTTAATCTAATTATCATTCTACTATAATATATTTTTTTGGTGTATTTTACTAACAGTATGATATAATTTAATTATATAATTGGATAAAAAGCTATAAGAATTATTTGTTAGATCTGAGATACCTTGTGGGTAAATACTTATAGTGTTTCTCATTTTGTAAAATATTAAATATTTACAATCAGTGTTCTCTAAATTTACATGTCATCGCTTCTATTTTAAATTTGTATGTCTATTTTTTTGAGGTTTATTGTTTTTATTTCAAGAAATTGTACATACTTCATTTTTTAAATTTTTTTATGAAATAAAATTATATTAAAAATATTAGGTTAGGGGTTTATGTATTCATTTCCCCCCTCTTTCTATAGATTAACCATTTCTACGCCTCTATGCTAACATATAAAATTTGTAGAGGGAGGAATGAAGGAATGAGTTCCATTACGATAAATAGGAAAAAGAACGTAAATTAATTCATTGTTTACAATAAATTAATAGTTAAATAATGATAGTCGTAAAGAATAGTTTGGAAGATCGCTCACATATGAGGAGTTACCTAAACATGATTATTAAGAGTTTTAAGAATCGAAAATTTCTATTGTTTCTTAAAATTAGATTAAAAAAAATGGTATATTCATTTTTCCTTCTGAAAATTAAGAAAAATCGAGGTACATGATTTTAGTGTGGTCGTAATTAATTCAAGGGTAGAGGATTGCATCTGTAACCTCTTAAAATACGTCGTTAAATTTCAAAGTGTCAATTGTTCATGTTTTAATTAAGGCGCTTTTCTAGTAAAGGTTATATATTTTTTATATGGTCCCTTTTCTGGAAAACGTCTTAATTAATACGTAATATTATATATAATTAAGAATTTATGATTTCTATTAAATAATATATTCCTAATAGGTCAGGAAACTGGTATTTATTTGCTGGAGTTTTGGATCACAATAATACTTATAACTTATTTCCTGATCGTGGACTTCTGATTGATAAACAAACGTCAACTGTAATGGGTTTGTTTAGTCACATAAAGAATAACACGTATAAACCTGAATCTTTCCGTAAGATTTTGTCTTTTTTATTTATTTATTTTCATGGTAGATACATAACAAAAACTGACTAGAGTATAAGTATACTAAATAAATGATACAATTAAATATATAAAATTACTTGGTAGTATATATATATATTTATAAACCAATATTGTACTTTTTCTGTCAATCTAACACCTCTAGAATTACTGTAGAGATTTTTGGATCTCCATTGTAATTCCTATTGGACATTTTTCTATTATTGAGTTATTGATTGAATACATTCTTCGCAGCGATAGTTAGGATGTTCTATACATTTCTATTGATGCATGAGTTCCTTGCATCTTTCTAGCTTAATACTTATTTGATTAAGGCTACATCATATATTACTTGGTTGTTTTGA